CCTGAGATGGAAGGCTGGTTCAATATACACTAATCAGTTAATGTGATACAACACATAAACAAAAGGATAAAAATAACATGATTCTATCAATAGGTTCAGAAAAGTCATTTGATAAAATCCAGCAAAACTCTCAGCAAAGTGGAATAGAGGGAATATACCTCAACATAATAAAGGTCACATATGACAAACCCACAGCCAACATCATACTCAACAGGCAAAAATGACAAGCATTTCCCTGGGGAACAAGATAGGGATGTCTGCTTTCACCACTCATATTCAACATGGTACTGGAAGTCCTAGCCACACAGATCAAACAAGAAAAAGAAATAAAAGGCATCCAAATTAAAAAGGGAGAAGTAAAACTCATTTTTTGCAGATGATGTATCTTCATCAGTCATTCACTGTCACCCTATGCCCTCAGACCTAGCATGCTGTCCACATGTCTATGTCTTTGCAGTTGGTACTAGTGAGCATCGACCCCATCACCCACAAACTCCTCGTGCTGGTTCCTGTAGGGCCTCTGGGATGACCACAATCATGTCACCATTTCTTTCTTTTAGCTCCTCACACCTTTCACAAGACAACATAGATTCTCAAAAACACACTAAGTCCTCTTCTACTTAACATACAAAATCATACAGAGTAATACTAAAAGGTACTAAACTCCAGGATGACTTGGTTTCTGTGTCCCTCCAGGGTCAGTGCACTCATGGCAGAATGCTTGCTACCAACTAAACTAGTCCTTTGAAAGCCTTATTTACTTTTTTTATCCTCACCTGAGGACTCCCCCCCCTCCCCATTTTTGTTCAGATAGAGGGAGAGGAAAAGAGAGAGAAACATCAAGGTGAAAGGGACACGTCAAGTGGCTGCCTCCCACACAACCTCAATCAGGGCTGGAGATGAATCACAACCGAGGTACATGCCCTTGGCCGGAATGAACCCATGACTCACTGGTCCATGGGCCAACGCTCTAACTACTTAGCAACACCAGCCAGGACTGAAAGCGTTATTTATTAAAATGTTTTTCATGGATATTTTGATAATAAATATGTTACTTACATTAGCAGTATTACTTTTAGATTAGATCTGAGAATTTTAGATTAACAATTTATTGACTATCTAGCACATACAAACCTGTGCTGTACTAGTCAGAAGTTATAAAGGAAAATAAAAGGTTATCTTCAGAAGTTACCGTATCAGAATTTTGTTTAAAATATTAATAGCTATGCCCGGCTGGTGTGGCTCAGTGGTTGGGCATCGACCCATTCACCAAGAAGTCACCAGTTTGGTTAGGGCACATGCCCAGGTTGTGGGCCAAATCTCCTGTGGGGGGCATGCAGGAGGCAGCCAATCAATGTTCTCTCTCATCAATGTTTCTATCTCTCTTCCTCTCCCATCCTCTCTCTCTAAAATTAATAAAGAGCCCTGGCCAGTTTGGCTCAGCGGTAGAGCTTTGGCCTGTGGACTAATGAGTCATGGGTTCGATTCCAGCCAAGGGCACGTACCTAGGTTGCGGTTTGTCCCCGGCCCTGGTCGGGTTGTGTGGGAGGCAACCAGTTGATGTGTCCCTCTCACATCGATGTTTCTCTCTCTCCCTTTCTCTCCCTCCCACTCTATCTGAAGATAAATTAAAAAATATCCTCGAGTGAGGATTAAAATAAAATCAATAAAGAAGTAAAATAAAATATTAATAGCTACCATTTATTGTGCACTTACTATATGCCAGGTGCTTCTCCTACCACAAGCTTCTCAAATACCTTAAAAAAATAGATAATTCCATTTTACAAAAGAGTAGTATGGGTCTAAGAGTAAATGAATGAGGTAGCATTTGAACCCAGGTCTCTCTGGGACTAAAATGCTCCAGTGTTTTCTGATATACAGTGACCACCAGCCCTACTCAGCCACAGGCCCTAAGCTCATTCATCATATCCATCCATTCCCTTCATTCAGTATGCCAACCACATTAGAAGCCCTGTATCTCTGAGAACAATGAAAAACCAAACACCAGATTTACACTTAGTACACTGCTGTTGCTAAACTAAATCTAGACAAAGTCAGACTGAGAACCCTTTCATTAAAACCTCTGTTTATGTGGGTGTCTCTCTCTCAGCAGGAAAGCACCAAAAGTTTAATGAAAAACAATCCTTTTTTTCAAGTATACTACATTTAATACCAAAAACTCAAAGTTAAATTCCATGACATAACCTTCATGACATAATCTTATACATTTAGTAGTGACCCACTGACAAATGAAGCAGAAAAATGAGCCGTGATCTAGACAACTTAAGCAGAACTGGCTAAATGCATATTTTTGCAAAATCAGGGATTTTGTCATATGATATAATCATTTCAATTCACTTATTTGCTGCATGCACTTTGACAATACAGACCACACTTTAGAGTATTTTCTGATACAGGTAGACACAAGAGGGCAAGTTATTACCAGTCTTGGCAGTCAAAATGGATGTTTTAGTTCACCTATCTTGTTTCAATTTCCATCAGCTACTGTATCTTTGAAGCAAGCCCTAAAGGAGGCTCTACAACAGTATCTGAAGAACCAAAGGTATGGTACTTACCACATTAGAGTTGAGATGAGAAGACCAACGCCTACACAATCTATGAATACAACCCAAAGGAGAAGCTTTATCATCTTAAAAAATCCCATGTCCAGCACAAAGCCAAATCCTACAGTGGACACTGAAAGAAAGATTTACAAGATCCATTCAGGCACTTTGCAAGGTTCTGGGGATACTGGGCACAGTCCCTGCCCTCCAGATGCCCTCAGTCCAGATGGACAAAACCCCCAAAATGTGTTCTATGTGATTAAGAAATGCAGACAAACGTGGAACACGGAAGGACCACTGAGATATCTCAAGTTTACCAAGGAGGCCCCTGTTTGTCTGTGGTTCACCAGGGTGGCCCAGCTTTTCAGTTAAAGGTAAGAAAAATCTACACACTTCAACATCCTAGCAGGAGTGGGGAACGTCCATATAAGGCCCTTGAAATCAATACCAGCTAACATCATACTTCTCACCAAATTAGCCTGGACCTAATATAAGCAGGCTACTTTTTAAGTTGATAATTTTGTATGCCCCTTGAATGATGTTATACATATCTATCTAAATGACCTTTGGCAGAAAAAAGGTTCCCCACCCCTGCAAGGCTTTTGCCATGCTACTAGAGAACTTAAAAGTAGTTTCTCAATTCCATATCAGTACTTTCAGAACTCTCTCTGGATTTCCCTGTGAAAAGCAATTTCCAATCTTGATATTTCTTTTAAAAGTAAGTTTGCATTTGGGTATTGATATATTTATCACAGTAGTTAAAAGACAGAAGTGACTCTGTCCCTCTGCTTTTTAATGTTGAGATTTATGGTTTACTCTGGCAACTGCTTGAGCCCTTAGAACCAGAAGAATATAGCCTTCTTTCCTGTGAGAGTTTTGAGGCTTCAGAAAAGAGTAAACAGTTTTAAATATCCCCAAATTCTGACCCACAACAGTTTATAACAAAAGAGTCCCCAAATGACAAGTCCAATCAAACACTCAGTTCATTTTTCAACTGTATTGCGGATCAACTAACACTTACCACACAGCCAGATACTTAATAGGACCAAGAAAGCTGGGTCATCTCTGGCCCACTGATCCTTTGTCTGCTTTCGATAGTGAAAGTTTCTATAAACCCTCTGCGGGGACGTGAACAGGTAGAGCATCTGCCAGGCAGCAAACTCAAAGTCCATTTGCCGAAAACGAAAAAGCCTTCTCAGGTATTTGTAGCGCTTTGCTCCTGCTGTGTGTCTTGCTGCATCTCTGGAATTCAATGCTCCATTCCCTTGCACTGGGGAACTCACTGAAGTACTTGGTAACATCTTCCTATGTGGGGGAAAAATCTTTTACTACTAATATGAAGAAAGTGTTGGCTACTAGCACTCCTTTTCTGAGCCATACAGGAGGGGGGTCACCTGACATTTCTGCCCCATTACTTAAGGAAAGTCAGTGATCAAGGGCAGCACCACACCCTTCTGAACCATCATAACAACATTTGTACAAGGGCCATACATTTCCCACACCTCACCTACCTCAATCCTCACAGTCCTCCCAGAGAGTAACAGCTACAGAGACAGAGAGAGACTCTGATTCAAATTCTGGCTCAGAAGCCCGTGCTCGTGCTCGCGCGCACCAAGCCTTTAATAAGTAAATGACCTAATCACACAGGTGGTCCATCAAAGCATTACCAGCAGGCAACTCGTTCACAAGAAGATATAAAAATAAAGCAAAACTAAACCCAGTATTTGCTCCGTGAATAGTTCAGCAGGGGAACGACTCCGGGGGAGACCGGCCGAACCACTGTGAGCCTGGTGAGCGCCGTCACGCCCGGCGGCCCCACGCCCCGGCTTCCAGCTCCGCTCTCCAACCTCCAGACGCAGACGGCGCCCGGCCAGGCTCAGCCGGTCCCCGCCCGCCCCGGCCGAGGGCAGGGATGCCGGATGTAACATAACAACTTCCACTTATACTGGAATTCGGTAGAGGAATGCTTGTTCGTATAAGTGCGTCCGAAACACTGCCTGGCACCTTCTCATACTAAAGATTATTCGCTGTTTATCGGAAACTCAACTGGAGCTGAGCGTCCTAGATTCTATCCCGCCACGCCACCGCAGGCCCAGCGGCGGGCCCGGTGTCACTCCGGGGCCGAGGGACGTCGGGCCGCGAGTGGCCAGAGGAAACGGCACCGGGCGAGCCCGAGCCGCGCCCCGACGGAGCGCTCCTCAGACTCACCTGGGCCCCCCTGCGGCCTCCACGGGCTGCAAACTAGCCCGCCACGTCGGCCGAGCAGCCGGGCCGAGCAGCCGCTGGACCACCTTTCCCTTCCCGAAACGTAGACGGCTCCGGGGGCGCGACACGTGACGTGTACCTACTTCCGCCGCGCGCGGCCTCGCGGGACTCCGCTTCGCGAGCTCGCCGGAAGTGTTTCTGCCGGCTTCCGGTTCTTTCCGCAGGGGGCGTCACTTACGCGCGGCAGGGTCGCGGCTGTGGCGGACGGAAGCAGCTGGGGCCGTGGCGGGCGGGAGGTGCAGCCATGCCTCGGTATTACGAGGACAAGCCGGAGGGCGGCGCATGCGCGGGCGTGAAGGAGGACCTGGGCACTTGTCTGTTGCAGTCCGACTGTGTGCTCCAGGTAGCGCGGCCGGCGGGGCGCGTCAACTGCTGCGGGCGCGGGGCCGGGAGGCGGGCCCGGCGAAGGTGTCCCTGGCCGCCTACGGTGGCGGTCAGGACGCGAGACCCAGAGTGATTGGTGCTGGGTGCAGAATACAGCCCCACTTAATAAACGGGCGTTTCCACTGTGGGAGCCTCGGTTCCCTCCGGCGTTAAATTGGCGCTAACGATACCGCCCCGTGGGATTTTTGTGACGGTTAAGCCGTTTTGGTTACAGAAACGTCTATTGAATGCTGCCACGCTGCTCGGTTCTGAGTGCCTTTTCCGATTACAGCGGGCGATCATGTGCAATTGCTGTTATTTCAACGAAAAGAGCACTGCCCCCAAATGGACACAACCTTGAGGCTCTATAAGTGTTTCCGTTGATTTGTGATTTACATTTGGTTCACTAATTTTAGCAGTCAGCCAGACTGGCCTCCCAGTGTATACAACTTCTGAGTTATGAATTTAAGAGGTTATCTAGTCCAGCTTTCTTGTACAGGTGAAGAAACTGAGGTGCCCTGTGTTCCAGCCCCTGCCCTGGGCTGTTTCGTCTGCCGCTTCATTGGTGCAGATATTCAGCCATCTCCTAATAAATGTCTGTTCAGTGCAGGCATGATGCCAGGCACTGAGATACGAGGAGTCACGACAGTCACTGTGTCCACACAAGCTTGGTCGGAATAGACATGTAAGGGGCTAAATTCCTGCGAGAAGGCCTAATTGTAAGCATTTAGTGAGCGTTTGTTGAATGAGTAGATTTAGGAGCAAAATGCCTTGGGAGCCCAGTGGAGAGCACCTTATTTTACTAGAGAATTTGGAAATTTCTCACAGAGGCGGCGACATTTGATGTGAGTCTTAAAGGTTGAGTAAGTTGTTTATTAAATAAAGGAGTGGGTTCTATGGTGGTTTGGGGGAGAACCTGGAAGGAACAGCCTGTCTATTCAGGGAGGTGTGGGAGGGTCAGGAGAGACGTGAGCCTGTTGGGCGAACGGGAATGTGACAGCCGGCTTGGAGGAATGTTGCAGAGTAAAGGCCCGTGTGTCAGTGAGGAGCTTGGATTTCATTCCGACATTCAGCATCAAGGCCATGGAGATCAGCAATCAAGGGAATGAAGTACCTAGAGTAGGACTGAGGAAAGAAATTCAGGAAGTGGCAAGGAGAAAACCAAGTTGGTTTTTGTTTTTTTTTTTGCAATGATTGGATTGTTTATTTAGCAAACATTTGAGTGCCAAGCTCTAATTCAGGGGACATGCAAATGAGTGGGACACATTGTCTCCTGTGTAGACATTGCATCTCTGGAAAGTTAGAAAGCTGTAGGCAGAGATAATGATCAGGACACATGACACAGACTTTGGTATCCCCCATTGATGTGTGGCCTTACTAATGCTGAATTTGGTCACGGAGGAAGCCTAATGTTTATAAACAGCCCCTTAAAGGGAAGCGTGTTTATGGTCAGTTCATCCTGAGTGATGACTTAAACTGGAGGGTAAAAGGGGAGTAGTGAGGCAAAACATTGGGCTTTGCAGATCCAGGGCAATAGTATCTTCTCTGGTGGTTTGGGGGAGTAGTTGCAGTGGTGGGTTTGGGGTGTCAGAATCTGCTTCCAGGGAAATCTCATGATGCTGAGCAGGTGAAATTTGGGTTACTTTTTGCTAGTGTGCACCAGATGTTTCTATTTAAGTTGTACTCCATTGTATCTCATTAACATCTATCTGAAGTGTTTAGTACTAACACTAAAAATGTTCTGATTTTAGGGCACCTTAATTCTGGCTATTTGAGCTTTTTAAAAATATATATGTTTTATTGATTTCAGAGGGAGGAATGGAGGGGGGAGAGAGAAATATGAGAGAGAAACATCAATCGGCTGCCTCCTACTGGGGATTGAGCCCCCAGCTTGGGCATGTGTCCTGATGGGAGAATCAAACCAGCGACCTCCTGGTACAGGACAACGCTCAAGCAACTGAACCACACACCAGCCAGGCTCTTTGAGGGTTTTTTATCAATTTGTTTTTGTTACAGATGTTTCTCATTTTTCCCCCCATTGACACCCTCCTCCCCTTCCCCCCCTCTTTGAGGTTTTAAAGTATCATTGAACTGGGTCATTTTTATCCTCAAAATTGCTTGACTCATTTTACATTGGAACTCACCTTGAGTAGGAAGCTATCACTATCTTCCCTTATGTTGTCAAGCACTACATAAAGCTGTTTATAAGCAGTATATTTTATTAATATTTAATAGTAAAACGTAAGCTTTTGATTTTTTCCCCCAAGGTCAGTTTACTTTTTCCAGATGTTGTTATATGTTTATATTACTGGGAAACTGGACCCTCTAGCACCTTTTCCTGTTACCCTCTGGCAGGCCCTACCCCCGCTTTGTGAGGTGCGCACTGCCAGTCAGCCTTCGCATGGGCACCCTTCCCTTCTCCCTGGTATTAAAAGCCCTGTGTAGGCAGGAATATCCAGTATTCATTTTTTAACTTCCCACTAAATTGATCTAGGGCTGTTCTGATTTTTTCCTCTCATGTTTTTTTTTTTTTTTTTTTTTGTTTTTTTTTTTTTTTTTTTTTTTGTTCAGGTAGAGTGGGAGAGAGAGAGAGGAACAGAGAGAGAGAGAGAAACATCGATGTGAAAGGAACACATCGAGTGGCTGCCACCCGCACAACCGACTAGGGCCGGGGACAAACTGCAACCGAGGTACATGCCCTTAGCGGGAACCGAACCCGGGTCTCTCCGGACCGCAGGCCGACGCTCTAACCGCTGAGCCAAACCGACCAGGGCTCATGTTTTTTTTTTTTTACACTAAATTAGACCTTGTGAGGGTTTAGTTACTAGAAAAATTAGTAGAGTAGGGTGTTCAAAAAGAGAAATTTTGCTGCAATTAAATTTTAATCTTGCCTTTTTGAATTGTGACATACCTTCTGTAGATGCATCCATATGCCCAATATATTTAAGTGCTTCTGTGTTAAATTTACAGCAGATTTGCTTAAAATGTATTATGATAATGTAGATTTTTATTCCATGTTTACCTTAAAAGGAAAATACTACTGAATTTTAGCTCTTATCTAGTTTTATAGTTGTTACTTTGTCAGGTTAGGTTTTTAATAGTTACAGCTTGAAAAAGGTCTTTATTTATTAAGAGTCAGAAGGAAGCATTTCTCCTGTGAACATTATTGTAACAGCTTCCTGCCTTGATGGCAAAAAGGGAATGATGGTTTAATCCAATTTTTCGTAACCTCCTTTTGAGCTTTCACTGCTTAAAGATGAGTTAATTTCACATCAGGCTCAGTCAGATCTTCTCCCACAAGTATAGTTGATTCTGCTCATATCTCCCTTTCCTCTTCTAGTTCTTAACTCAGTTGAACTTCTCAGAATAGAGAACTTGACTGTGGGAGGCAGGAGGTGGGAAAATGCAGAGATGTGTTGGAGGTAAAACTGCTTGCATCAAAAATATGTAAGTAGAGCACTAGCCAGTTCGGCTCAGCAGTTAAGAGTGTCGGCCTGCAGACCAAAGAGTCATGGGTTCAGTTACCAGTCAAGGGCACGTACCTAGGTTGTGGGTTCAATCCCTGGCCCCGGTCAAGGTCCTGTTGGAGGCAACCAATCGATGTGTCTCTCTCACATTGGTGTTTCTCTCTTTCCCTCCTTCCCTCCCCTCTGTCTTAAAAAAAAATCATTGGAGCCTGGTGGGTGTGGCTCAATGGACTGAGCACAGTCCCATGTACTGAGAGGTCCTGGTTTGATTCCCAGTCAGGGCACATGTCCGGGTTTCGGGTTTGATCCCTCAGTAGGGGACGTGCAAGAGATAGATGTTTCTCTTTCACATCGATGTTTCTATCTCACCCTTCTTTCTTCTCCTGCTAAAAAATCAATAAAAACATATTTTTTAAAAATCAGTGGAAAAATATCCTTGGGTGGGGATTAAAAAAAAACACCATATATGTATATATGAGAGACTTTAAAGCCACTTGATATACCTTCCAGAACAACAGAACAAGCCCTCCCATTCACATGCCTGAGCTCTCATACACGTGTATGTTCTCTGTCGTACACACTGCTTTCTTGTCTAGTTCTTGAGTTTAAAGGTTTTAAGAACAATGAAGAAACCATTACTACTTTCACCTTTATTCTTTCCCTTTCTTACCCATAAGGAACTGGAGATACCAGTTTCTAGATTTTATATAAACAGTTTAAAGAAAAGTATCCTGTGGTTTTCAGTAACTCAAGAGCCCCCTTAAAGTACAAAGAATTCACTTAGTTTTTTTCATGCTTTTGTCTTTTAAGCACTAACAGTCAAAATGAATTTTGAACTATTTCTTACAAATTTACTTTTTTCTTTTGCCTTTTAAAAAAGAACTATTTTCAGAAGGGCAATTATTTTGTACTTTGTGAGAAATTTTCCAGGTATTTATATTGTTTTATGTGTCATAGGAAGGAAAATCCCCTCGGCAATGTCTAAAGGAAGGAAACTGCAAAGCTTTGAAATACTCATTTTTTGAATGTAAAAGATCAATGGTAAGAAAAGATTTTTAAAAGCTCACACTGAAGTTAGCTATGTGGAGTTAAATATGCGAGTGACTTAGTAATTGTAAATAGGTTGCAGTGACATTATTCAGAACTCCAGTGAGTTAATGTCAGGTAGCATCATGAAAACCCATAGCTGACTGTTTTGTCCCTCTGCCGCTGTGTTAACCACAACTGCTGACCTTTACGAATCTCTGAAGATATGAAAATGAAGTCTTGGCAAGTATAATGTAAAATAGTGATTCACTATTAGTCCTCCAAGAAAGAACTGATATCACACTTAACTAATGCAACTTCAATTACACATGCTTGGCAAAAACCTGAAACATAATTTAAATTGTGCTGATAATTTTACCTAATATTTCAAACAATGAGGGTAAATTCAGAATGAAGGTTAGATGGGAAGTTTGAATGGTCTTTCTCTCATAGTACTAATCATCACATCATCCTGAGTATGATTTCCATGTTTAAAGATTATGTATTTTTATTATTTTTTGAAAATATGGCTCTTAGCTTCATGTAGTGATCAGATGAAGAAATGGCTGTCTGTCCCTTATTGGCTGTGCTGTACTCATTAATAGGGTCTATCTGTAAAATAATTCCTTCCTGTAGAATTTCTAGGGAATGATATTGACAACTATAAAAATTTGCTTATATACTGACTTGTACCCTCCACCCTCCCCCTCAAGAGGCTCTACTGTGAGGCTTAATCCCCTCATCGTATGAGAAGGTAGTTTGAAGATTTTTAATCCCAAGTGGCTATGTGTTACCATTTTTCAGAGCTTCCTTCTTTTTTCAGTTATTAAAGATTTCAAATAAATTAGAATATTAACCCAAATAAAACTTAATTAGGAAGTTGTCTGCTAGAAGAACATACATTGAGTGTAGTTCAGAGAAAAAGATAAATGCAATTTGTATTCTACTTGAGAAGAAAATCCTTATTGTGACCTTAAAAGGAATTGTTTTTAATGACATCTTTAATATTTTGGGTGGTGGTGCTTTATGATAGTTCTGACAATTGCCTTTAAAAAAAATTCTGTTATTTGTTTTCTGTTTCTCCTTCATTCTATTTTCTTTAGGCTTAATTTGTTCTTTTCCTAACACCTTAAGATGAACACTTAGCTCACTTATTTTTCAGCCAATTTTGTATATGTGCATTTATAGTAAATGTCCAGAATAGATAAATCTAAGAAACAGACAGTAGATTAATAGTTGCTAGTGCTGGTGACAGGAGGAAAAGGGATTAGGAAAGAATGGGAAGTGATTGTGATGATAGTGAATATGCTAAAAACTTTTGAATTGTACCTTTAAAACGAGTCAATTGTTTTGAAAGCATCACCAGGTGTTAGACCAGTGGAATCAGACCAGACCTCATGAGGTTCGGCAACCTCGGCACTCGAGTTCTGGCTAAGAAAGAATACAGCGGCAAGACTCAAACTATAAGAAAAAGCTTATTTAGAAAGACACAAAGGTAGAAGAAGTGAGCCATAGAAGGAACGGGCTTAGGAACAAGTTACAGTGGCAAAAGAAGGGCCCTTGGAGTTTAGGAGAAAGAGCGAGGCAAGGGAAATGCCTGGGGGGAAGGGTTTGGGGAAAAGAGCCTTTCTGATTGTGTGGGAAACTGGTTACTTCTCTTGTGTAGTGATGCCCCTTACTTATGTTGTACTTAATCATGTTTGATTGTACATTTATTTTCAGTTGGATGCCAGATCAAGATTCAGAGGAAGAAAAGGATATTGATAAGTGTTATGTTGGAAGCAAGATGTATACAACAAAGGATTTCCTCTAGTCATTAAAACAGAAACGAGAACAGGAAACATACTTTTCTCTTACACCTGTTTGGTCGGACCATGGAACCCGGGAGAGAATGGATGAGTTCTGTTTTTGAATATGTATAAATGATTTTCTTGCTCTAAATTATTTTTAGAAGAAAATTTTAATTGACTAGTTATGAGTGGGGAGCATAATGTGTTTTAATAATTGTTCTAAAGCACAAAGATTGTTATTTTCAAACATGACTCCTTAACCAAATGACACTGTACATCTTTTATGAATATTCTGAAAACCACTGATGGGACTGTTAAAATCCATAACATGGAGCTTGGGGAGAAAAAGTCTATTGGGAAAGTTTAGAATAAAACTTGCTTGTGTCCAGTTTGTCCTATTTAGTTTTAAATAAACTGTGTTTGATTATTTGGAGAAGAAATGCTTCATTTGCACCGATTCACTGAGGTAATAGCCTCACAATCTTAACGTCATACATTAGGCACAGCTGGATGCAAAGTGCCTGATCCTGTTACCGGGGCTCTTTGCCTCCCTTGCTTGGCTGTTTTTGTTTCCTGGCTTCATTTTCAGTCTGGCCCTCTCGCAATAACGGGAAAGAGGCCAGTGTCAGCCAAAAGTGCACATCCTTAAGGTCCATGATCCAAAAAGAAGACAGATACTTCCTTTTCTAGGGGCTACAATCAAATTCTACAAAAGGACTCTTGTCCTTCCTGGATCACCTGCCCTTGAATTAGATCAGTCCCTGTGGAAAAAGGAATATGGTCATGATCTCAGCCAGGCCTGGGTCTCATAATTCCCGTGAGAATCACACTGGATGAGGAGGGGCCTCATCCCAAAAGGAAAGGAGGATTTGGCACAAACTGAAAAATTCATTATGGAAAGCAAGAATGAAACGTGAAATGCTTGAAAAAGTTTAGACTCATTTTATTCTGATCACGTAATGCAGTACAGAACTGTACTGTATGATAAAGTTTTCAGCTTTATTTTCATTTTTGAAGAATAATGAAGACTCACAGCTTCTTCATAATATCCACAGGCCATCAGTTAAAGCAGTCAAGGTATTCTGTAGCTTGTTTCTTTTTAAAATGTTCAGCCAAAGTGAGAATTCCACACTAGCACTAGTCCTTGTTGTAGAATCCCAGTCTATCGTGTGTACTACTTTTCACTGAGAAAAGGAAAATTACGGATTTTTTTCAATAATTCTTGTCTATATTTTCCAGGGTTTATTTCTGGGTTCTCTCTTATGTTTCACTGGTTTACATATCTGTTTTTATGCCATTGCCACACTGTTTTGATTACTGTAACTTTGTAGTAAGTTTTGAAATCAGGAAGTGTAAGACCTCCAACTTTGTTATTTTTCAAAATTGTTTTTGCTATTGAAATTCCCTTCAGATTCAATATGAATTTTAGGATGGATTTTTCTATTTCTGTAAAAAACACCATTGGGATTTTGATAAGGATCACTTTGGAGTATTGGCATCTTAACAATATGATGTCTTCTAATCCATTTACACGAGAGGTCTTTCCATCTATTGGTGTTCTCTTTTAGCAGCGTTTTGTCATTTTCGGTGTACAAGACTTCTGCCTTGGTTAGGTTTATTCCTAAGTATCATTCCTCTTTATGTGATTGCAAATGGAAGTGGAACTGTTTTCTTAATTTCCTTTTTAGGTTGTTTGGATGATGGGTTAACTTTTTACTGGGAAATATAGTAGACATACAGAAAAACACAGGGTGTTTGTATAATGTTAATTAATAACTATAAATCTTCATGTTATGCCCTGCCCGGTTTGGCTCAGTGGTTGGAGCATCAGCCCACAGACCAGAGTCCCGGGTTCAGTTCCCACTAAGGGCACGTACCTCGGTTGCGGTTTGTCCCCAGCCCGGTTGGGGTCTTGTGGGTTGCAACCACTCGATGTGTCTCTCTTGAATCAATGTTTCTCTCTCTCTCTTCCCCCTTCTCTCCTGCTCTATCTGGAGATAAATGAAAAAAAAAAAAAATTTCCTTGGGTGCGGATTTAAAAAAAAAAAATCTTCAGGTCAACAGAACATTGAACAAAGTGAACACTCTATAACACTTGACTGTTCTCAGAGGCCCTCCTGCTCGCCCCTGAGAGAAAACCACTGTTGTGGGATTTGCCACACTCTGCTCTCCAGTTTTCCTTCTCCCTTGAGCTTGTTGCATTTGGCTCCTTATAATGTGTTAGAGTACAGTCATCCCCCTAGCAGTGGGGATAACGATCCAAGACCCCCAGTGGGTGCCTGAAACTGTGGGTAGTACTGAGCCCTATATATACTATGTTTTCTCTTATACATACACAGCTATGATAAAGTTCAATTTATGTATTAGGCAAAATAAGAGATTAGCAATTAAAATGAGAACAACATACTATAGCAAAAGTTATGTGCGTGTGGTCTCTCAAAATATCTTCTTGTGCCCTGGCCAGTTTTGCTCAGTGGTTAGAGCGCCAGCCTGTGGACCAGAGAGTCTTGGGTTCAGTTCCCGCCAAGGGCACGTACCTCGGTTGCAGTTTGTCCCCACCTGGTTGGGGTCGTGTGAGTGGCAACCACTCCATGTCTCTCTCTCACATTGATGTTTCTCTCTTCCCCCCTCTCTCCCTCCCGCTCTATCTGAAGATAAATGCAAAAATGTTCTCAGGTGAGGATAAAAAAATATATATATATCTTCTTGTGCTGTAGTCACCCTTCTTGTGGTGATGTGCTGATCACGGGCAACAAGCCATGGAAAATGAAACCTTGGATAAGGGGAGTACTACTGTAACAGATTATAGCACTCTACTAGAGAAAAGCAACGTGGTCTAGTGCTGAAATAGGAGAGATTTTAATTGAGCACCCAAAAAAAGAAAAAGTCATCCATTTTTTCATTCCATAAACCTTCTGAGTAGCTCCTTTGCAACAGTCATTGCATTTGCTGTTTCGAACACAAAGTAACATGGCTAGACAAAGTGAAAGGTAAGTTAACATGATAGATAGGATATACGATATAATGGTCATATATATTTAAAATTGTATGAAGCAGAATATTTTTTCTAAAGGGGCCATTCTTTCTGTGGAGAGAAATCACCACAGAGGGTGTGCTGAAGTGGCCGTGGAGAGACGAGAAGGCTGAGGGTTGGTGGTCCACAGCAGCAGGACATGGACATGGGTCAGGGCTGTGAGTGTGGGTGGAACTATGGGGTGGATTGAAAAGATACAGACCTGCCCTGGCTGGTTTGGCTCAGCGGTTGGAGCGTCGGCCTGCGGTCCGGAGAGACCCGGGTTCGGTTCCCGCTAAGGGCATGTACCTCGGTTGCAGTTTGTCCCCGGCCCTGGTTGGTCGTGCGGGTGGCAACCACTCGATGTGTCCCTTCACATCGATGTTTCTCTCTCTCTCTCTTCCTCTCTCTCCCTCCCGCTCTGTCTAAACAAAAAATGCAAAAAAAAAAAAAAAAAAGATACAGATCTTAACTTAGTGGCTGCTGGGATGTGCTGGTGAGCCCAGGGTAGGGTCATTACCAGGAAGGCTTGGCCAGCTTGGAGGAGGGGTGCAGGAGTTCAGTATTGACATGCCGTGTTGGAGACACTGAAGTAGAATGGCTAGGATGTGGTTGGATGTGTAGATGGATCTGGATCTAGAGAGTCTCAGGTAGACCTAGAAATTTGGGAGTCATTAGTAAACACTTGGTCCTTTATTCCATAGGAATAGCTAAGACTTTCAGGAAAATCATCGATGTGAGAAGAAAGGTAAGGACAGAAACCTGGGGAACACCAAAATGTTAGTGGTGGGTGGAAGATGACAAGCAAATCACAGTGAGGAGGGTTGATGAGAGTTAGGACCACCAGGAGAGTGAGGCCACAGAGCCAAGCGGGTGCAAGGAGCAGGAAGTGATTAAGTGCTCTATGTTTCTACATCCAAATGGCTAAAAAAGATACCTTCTTCTGCCCATCTGGTATGGCTCAGTGGTTGAGCAATGACCCATGGACCAAGAGGTCACAGGTTCAATTCCCGGTCAGGGCACATACCCAGGTTGCAGGCTTGATCACCAGTGGGGGGCATGCAGGAGGCAGCTGATTGATGTATTTCTCATCGATGTTTCTCTCTCTCCCTCTCTCTTTCCCTCTCTCTAAAAATCAATGAAAATATATATTTTTTTAAAAGATACCTTCTTGACCCAGCCAGTGTGGCTCAGTGGGTTGAGCACTGTCCCATGGACAGACGTCCTGGTTTGATTCCTGTTCAAGGCACATGCCTGGGTTGTGGGCTTGATACCCAGTGGGGTGGGAGGGCCAGTGCGTTGCAGGAGGCAGTTGATTGCTGTTTCTATCTCTCCCTCTATAAAAAAAAAATAGAAACTTTTTTTTTAAAGATATCTTGTTACTTACTGGAAACAAGTTTTTTTCTTCTTTGTCTAACAGTACAGAGATTACTAGTAGCACCTCAGGTCTGTATTTGAAGGCAGGCCTGCCTGGACCTGCCAAAAAGGCCCACTGCCTGGTGCAGGAAGGAATGGGCAAAGGCAGTGCTGAGGCACAAAAAGGGTCTCGGGGAATTGCAGTGACTTCTGGTCCCACACTCGGGATTCTATGTCACAGCTTTGGTAGTGATCGCTGTAATAAAAATAAGACAAAGTTATTACTCCCTTGCCAAATCTTAGCACAGAATGAGGAGGGGGTGTTCTACCCAGGGTAGCACAGGCCAGTGCAGTCCCTCACCGAGGCACACTCCATGCCCATTCCATGGACAAGGATGGTGCTCCAAGTACCACCTTCGTGGGTAACAGGACTTGTTTTCAAAACAAGCATCAAAAAGAAAAAGGTGCATCTGACTATTACAATTTAAAACTTCTCTATACCCCTATCATAAAACCAAAAGACAACTAACAAATAGGTTTTAAAACATGGTAACATATGACAGATTAATATGCAGTATTAAATATTAAAAACAACCCTTAAAGACCACTCCAATAAAGTCACAAAAGTAGAAACACAAGTAAAAGTATAAGAGGTTCAGTTTCCATAGTGCTCATACACACAGAACTTGAAACAGGTCCACTTTTAACATCAGTATGAAGAAAGGAAAAAGGCACAGGTGACAGGCAGTAAGCTTCACTTTCCGGGAGTAAGACAGGCAAACCTCATTTCACTGGGCTTCGCAGATACCGTGTCTTTACAAATTGAAGGCAAGACCCTCCACCAGCAAAAAAATTTACGACTTGCTGAAGGCCCAGATGATAGTCAGCATTTTTTAGCAATAAAGTAATGTTTAATTAAGGTAGGTACATTTTTTTAGACATACTGCTATTGCACACTTAATGGACTACAGTATAGTGTAAACATTTATAGGCACTGGGAAACCATAAAATTCATGTGACTCGCTTTATTGTCATAGTTACTTTATGGCAGTGGTCTGGAACCAAACCCGTAAAATCTCCAAGGTGCCTCTATGAAAAATTCAAAAATTTAAAAACATTTACACTATCCTTTAATTGTACATTTCAACTGTCAGGAATTTAAGTCTCTGGGCATGTGCCTAGAAAAAGGTGCAAGATGCAGTCCTGGTTATAACGAACAATCAAACCATTCATGAAACATTTTAGCAAGCAATACGGATGACCAGGTAACCCACAGAGGAGACATGGCCCATATTCACGGACACGGCCAGTAACAGCGTCCAACGTGAACTTCGTGCCACAGCACCTCACAGCTGCCTTGTGATGCACTGTTGGTTCCATCTTTCCACACGAGGACGCAGAGCCTCAGGGCAAGCAACTTGCTCGGAGTCACCAGCCAAGGAGTGTCACACCAGGCTTGGGACCTAAGTCTGTGTGAAGTGGATGCCCATGCTCTAAATCCCACACCCCCGGTGCCCCGTCACTTCAAATGAACTGAAAACAGTCATAAAACAAGTCTCATGGTTCCACGTTTACAAACGGATGCACTCAATGCAATGCCCACTAATCGTCCAGTCAGGTGCCGCCAAAGAACCAGTCCTCCCAATGCAACAGAATGAACCAGGCAAGACCAAGTGTCGTGTTCTTGTCAGTTATTTATTATTTGTCGTTCTAAAGACTAGCACATTTACAGCATACATGGCTTTGAATGAGCTAAGAATATAGAAAACGATAACTACATGTTTATATATATTAATACTGGCCAAAACAAATAAATAAAAGTACTTTAGTGCACTAAGTTTGGCAAATACAATTGTGTAGGGACTAAACTGTATTACTATACAACATCTGTATGTTTTAAAGGAAACCAAAGGCCACAGGTGCTCTGACAGCCCACAGCACAGCCCAGGTTTTCAGTACGTCTCACCGCTTCCCATTGAATGGGGGCCGTGGAAGGAACACTGGACAGAACCTCTATTTCCTGGTAACCCGTAAGGCTGCCTTCCTTGTACAACGAAAACTCAGGCTCTCGTGTCCCGGGCGCCGCTGGCCACCATGACGACGGCCTTGCTCAGCAAGCACAGTCAGCGCGATGCTCTGGGAGGCTGTTCACACGGGAGCCCGGCAGCAGTGCTCAGACAGGATACTGGAACCTGAACTTTGCCTACATGACTAGCCAAGTCTTAGAGTTTTATGGTGATGCATAATATGAAGCCAAAACTGGGAAAATAATTCACGAAAAGGTGCCACATGCAAAACTGCTAACAGTTGACTTAACATTCGCTATATTCCCTTTTGATGAATGCAGTATTTAATGCTTTTCAGACACACACAAAAACCTGAAAACAATATGGGTGACATTTAATTTTTTTTAAAAAGGGAATATTTTAAAAGGTAGTGATGTTAAAATGAGAAAAGATGGAACTAGAAAAGATACTAGAAAAATTACAAATAAATGAAATGGTGGAGAGGTAAAAAGGCTGAATCAGCCACACTGGAAACTCTGAACGGGTCGGCACAAGAAACTGCCCCCGGCTGCTGCCACCTCTGCAGTGGGTTTGGTGGCTGTGGGTTTCTCTGCCGCTCTCCACAATGAACCAGCTTCCACAGAGACGGGGCTGCTGCCGTCCCTCAGGGACGCATCCTCCACACAGTTCCCACTGGGCATCAGGAGACAGGCTCTGTCTGTCTGCTGACTTCCGACTGGGGAGGGATCTGGAAAGTCATCCAGTTCCACTCTTCCACTGCTCACCCCCGTGTCCCTGCCATGAGTGGACCTGCCTCGGCTCCCAGGCCCAAGTCTGTCCCATGTTTCCAAGTGGCATTTCTAAAGGAGCCCAAAGAATAATACCCAGAATTTTAGACACAAGAAATTTCCTAAAGGTGCACCAATCATTAGGATTAAGATTATGAGTGTGCCACACATATTTTTTTACAGCCTTTTAAATAACACAAATATAATCATCATAATAAACAATTGATAAAACATACAAACTAAGAAAAAAACTCTGCTATGTGCAGATAAGATGCATCATCTTATAATAGATGACCAGACATCATTTTCTATGAAATCCCTAAGTTTTATGACCCATTAGTCCCTTTCTTTCAAAATCTCATTTTAGGAGCTAATTTCATTGTTTGTAATAGTCACCTTACATAACAGAATGAGAAGAGGATAGTAACAATTATTGCAAACTTAAAAGACACTTTCATCACACATTCAAACATGATTGTATTGTCTTTTAGAAGACAATAAGGAAACCCACAAAAAGACATCTGTTCTGAAAAGATTTAGGCTTCCACCATCTACACACATCAATCCCAGGCTGCGCGAGGTCCTGGGGTGCTGTGCCTCAGCATCCAGAGAAGGGGTCATGCACCCCGAGCGGGGTGGGGCTGGACATGGAAGTGAAGAGAACAGGAGGCAGCTGGCTTCCCGCTCTCAAGCACACCCTGTTCTATTGTAACTCATAAGGGACAGGTGTGGCCCTCGCTGTGAGTGGCTTTTGCAGGTGTTATCTTCGAACACAGTCTATCTCAGGCTAATTCTCAACCTTCAACGTCCAGCTCCACCTGCGCTATCGTAGGATGGTTCACGGAGCCACCTGCTGTCACTGCACGGCCAGCGCTAGCTTCTTTCCCAATGTCTGAATTAACATTTAACATTTATTGGTCTGTCCGGGATCCAACTGTTCACTACTGTTTTACATTCAGATTTTTAAAAAGTAGATTGTAATTCGGTGCTCAATTTTGAGTTACTCAGTAGAAAAATAAGTGAGCAGCTGCCTAAGTGGGCATTTTAAAAAGTCTTAGCATTTCAGACTACCTAGCTTGATTCCTGGAGGTGACTACCGACATCTGTGTGGTTCCGCTGCAGGCGTTTCAAATGGGCAGGTGTTACTATCCACACTACTGAGCAGACATGACCTCCTACTGATTCCAGCGGAATAGAAACATGCTCCATAGACTCTTTAGTGAAATATTTTTTAAAAACACAAAAGTAAAAACCAATCCTTCAGGTCTTCTTGAAGAATTCATCTATGACACTAGAGGGCGCCCACACTTGTTATTTAACAGCTAATGAGAGGACAGCGTGTGTTCAAGTTTCAACCTTGCCGTAAGTCCCTTCGGGAGGCCTGTAATGCTTGGGGAAAGCCTTCAGCTGCAGGGAATTAAACGCATATTTGCGACTTCCAACATTCTTCATTGTATTTTCTCTTCGACAACCCTCACTGGGGAAAAAACAAGCACAAGAAATGACAGCAGTAAAAAAGGAAAAAAAGAAAAGACTTAAACTAAGATGAAATGAACTGATTACTTTTATAGCATTAAAAAAAAAAGGTCAATTTAAATGGGAGCCAGACTATTTGCAACAACACACACATGAGATGGCATCTCTGAACAAGGCAGTTAAGCACAGCGATGGATAGTGCATGGGACTGAGTTTTGCATTTGCGGAAGCAGCACCGTATTAAGTGGAAGCAAACATTTTTAAAGATAAGGGTTTCATGTGTTTCACGTCCAGGTATTTCAGGGTTCTCTCCTAACCAGTGGTTCAAAGATTCTGCTACGTGACAAATTAAATGAAAAAAGAAGTAGTGTGACTCTTACCAAAGCCTTTAAAGAGTGGCATTTTTCTATGTTAGCAACAGCTGTTAACCACCTCAAATTCGAAATGCATATTTTCCTTGCAGAATTCAACATGTAGCAGAGCTGTCTGACTGAGGAGGCTGCTCTAACAGGCTGTCTCCTAAGTGGGTGCAAAGCAATCAATCCAATGGGTCCAGGTGATGGCTTCATGGTGGGTCTGCATGGCCACCGGGGCTGGAGTGTTGTGAAGGAGGCAACCCCACTGAGGTCCTCTGGTGGCAGCCAGACACCACCTTCAAATGGGTTGCCCTCATTGGGGTCACCTTTCAGAAAAGCCACTGAGCTCGTGAGAGCCCACAGGTGCTCTTCTGTACCGAACCAGCTACCAGGACCATCCCAGCTGCATTTGGTGGTGGGTTGTTATGGCAACCCAGTGTGCAAAGCAGATGCTGAGGAGGAGGAAGGGCAAGCAGGCCGGCCTCACAGTCCTAAATGAGAGCATCAGGGGGGTTCCCTGGAAAATGTTCACTGAACTAACAGGCAAAAGTGATTCTGAATATAAATGACATTTTATAGCATAGTCTCACTGTATTTTTATATTTTCTAAGACTATCAATTAACTGGTTATCAAATTTAGTACAAAACTCCCTTTATGAGATGTAAAATTTGCAGTTATCAAGAAACAGTGATTTAAAAAAAATATTTCCAATAGTATCAACACCATTATATCATGCATTTACAAAATATATCAGTGAAAAGTGTTTGAGCCTTTTAAAGTGAAATTGACATTCTCATTTTCAGGAACATGTAAAATATTTTGGGTAAGATAATTTTATTCAAAAGAGAAGCATGGGTATTTCAGAAAATTATCCCCCTGCTTGGAATTAAATCAGTCAGTAACTCAAACACGCGTCCTTGTCACCAGAGCCAAGCCCTTGGCGAAATGTGTCATCTAGCTGAACGCCTGGGCCACACGAGGAGGAAGCCCACGGATAAATAATGGTCATGTCTGTCTAACATCCAATAATCAGATAAAAATATAACTCCACTGAAAGCAGACGCTCTAGGTCCTATGCTCACAGTCTCGTTTACTCTTTGGGAACTCCCCAACCGGACTATTTCAGACAGAGCATCTCCAAATGTACACGTCTCAAAAAGCACCTATCAGGAATAAATGCCACACTAGTGTGAGAAGCAAAGAATAATTTGGGAACTTTGACATTATCTTTTATTTACATGTTAAAGAAGCGAATTAGTGATTTAACTGGCTGAATGCATTATAAGTCAGAATTTCTTTTTAAGAACATCCATTTTTTAAATGAGAAATCAGAATGGAAACCCAAACAACAGCTCATTTGAGGGACACCCTTGGTTCTCCCTCTCCGGTGGGTTCTTCCACTTTGAACCCATTGGCTGCATCTCGAGTGACCTGAAAACCAATGCACATCTCAGGGACTCCCCTTTCTGGAATCGTCTTCCCTCTTCGCTTCCCCCGCCTATTTCTCATTAAAGCAGGAAAGATTGTGGATATTTAGCCTGATTTAATGAATAAAAGAGTGAACCCTCTCTCCCTTCCACCCCAAGCCTCTCAAGCTAGCACCAAACCTACGTGCAGCAGGAAGGCCTGGCTGGCACCACGCCAGGAGTGGGCTGTGGTGTCACGACCTCCCCAGGCTTCTCCAGCTGGCCTTCCTGTGCTGTGCGTGGGTCCGGAGGGAGTCTCTGAGTCACGTGTATCCAGGCCCAGGGGAGAGGAGGGCAGCTGTCTACAGACAGCCGGCTGGCCTGGAGGGGAGCGTCACCCCTCGGGCACTGGGAATGCTCTCCCTGGAGCAGTGACTGGGAAGCTGTGGTGGGAACGGAGCAAGTCTAGGTACTGGACTTCCCTCCTCACACAGAGTGAACAGGAGTCACCCGCACCACATTCGAAGGTGGGCAAGCGGTCAACACACTTCTCAAAGAACCATTGACCAGAGAGGTCCTCCCCTGGTAACCAGTGTCCCGTTCTACAACTTACTACCACCAGTCACGGCCATTCGGAGACTCCCGACTGCAGGATGGCAGGGGCCGTGCCCAGGGCTGCCACCTCATTTACTCCAGAAAAGACAGTTGACCGCATAGCACCTGCGAGAAGATGACTCAGCCCCAGGCGGACGCCAGCCCTGGAGCGCCTGCAGGGCTCGGGGTCTAGGGAAGGAGGGTGCCCAGGCAGGTGAGGGGGACTGTCTTCCACTGCAGAATTTAAAGTCTCAGCCTGGCACTTGTCACCCACTGCTAACTGCTTCTGCAAGTCCTAGAACGCACGCTCAGATCTGACGCCAAACCAGAGAAATCCCAGAGCAAGTTCTGGAAGTGCTGGGGCGGGGATGGAGAGGCCACTCTGTGGTGGACTGGGTTTGTGTGCATGTGTGGGTGCGTTTCTGGAAAAGCCAGCTTCTCTAGGTTCACTCCAGTTTTTCCAGACTGGTAAAAAAATTTTCATAAAAGAGAGTATGTGGTGAACTAGCTGGAGGTCAAAACAAGATCAAACACAATTGAAACTGGAAGACAGAGCAGCCGCTGGGTATTTCTTATGCAGGGTCTGGGGAATTTCCCCCTAGTTTATCCTGTTACTGTCACAGGTGTCCGACCACCCTTCTGCCAAACGTGGCGTTCAGTGGTCCCATGTGTGGACGGCGCCTGGTTAGAATTAAGAGCAGCAACAGCAGAAAGCAAAGTAAATCTCTCCCACAGTTCCATCTGGCACAGCTGCCTAAGAGGCAAGCCTCAGTTTTTGGTCATTTGTCTTTGACTTTTCTTTTTTCATTATTAACTACATTTGATTTGTAAAAAAGAAAAGATGTCTAGACTTTAATCTAAATGTAAATATCTTTAAAATGAAAAATGCTATTTCAAGAAAAGTAAATATATATAACCCTAACAGTCTCTTGTTACTCTATGCATTAATTCCTGTGGTTGGTTTAATGATCCTTAAAGACTTAAAAGAGCAAATCTACAGTCACATGCAGTATGTTATTTTCTGTGCCTGACTTGGTACAATGTGCTATTGTATTCACAGCTTTGTGTCATCTCAAATTGGAAATAATAAACATGAGCAAGGAAATGTTATGATTCTGCAAACTGTTTGCTACTGTAATTTAAGGGACTGCGCTTTGACATGAAAGCAGAAAGTCCACGTCCTATTAAACAGGCTGACACAGAGGAGCCAGTAACAAAGTATGTATCTATCATTGTCTTTTCACTTGTCTTCAAAACGAAAGGAAAGGTTAGCAGTACATTTGAAGAATAGTATAAAATATACAAATTCTTTGCAGACAGAATTCCTTTCTCTTGGAAACAGGGCACATGAGATATACAGATAATAAACAGCTTTACATCGGAAAATAAGACTCTGGTACAAGTGACGGCGGCAGCGACACAATGCCGACAGGGCACTGTGAGAGAAGTCACACGCACTGGGAGCTACAGAGCTGAAGCAAACAAGTCCTCTTGGTGTAATAATTCGGCAGGTATTTACAGTTCAAAACAACAAAACGGCAAACTGTAAGGCATGAGACATTTCTCGGAGACCACGCTCTGACACTTCCCTCTGTCCAGGTCGGCGCACGGAGGTGGGACTCACTCTGGCACTTTTGTTTTCTTGTGACCTATTAATTTTTCACACTGACATTCATTTGCAACGCAATTTGGCCACCAGGTACGCTATGCTCAGAAAGAGCCACACAATCAGTAAATTGGGGCTCAGAGCTAATAAAGGGATGGAACAGAGGAGGCTGGGGTCTAGTCTTAGGTCTCGGATGGGCACCAGGCCGCTCAAGTTCTTCTGGGTGACTACCTCCCGTGTTCCAATGCTGTGAAAAGGAAACGGTTTGGGAAAAGGAAAAGGGAGAGGAAATAAAGAAAAGAGAGAGACACGTGCAATGAGTTTTATCAAAATTATGGAAAACAAGAGAAACAAAAGATAAAATTTTAAAAAAATGGAATGAAGCCATAACAGAAAGAAGACGGGAGAGCAGAAAAGGGTGTGAAAGAAACACCGAACAAAACCAGCACAGTTACAAGGAAAAGGAGAGAAAGAGAAGTGAAATAAGAAACAGTCCTGCAGCCCACTGGACACACGCAGGCGGACGGACCGGCTTCCCAGGCCCGCGCTCAGCGGCCAGCGCGCCCTGCGCCCTGCCATGCGCCACATGCTGCGAGCACGTGTCTCAGACAGCAAGCTGGACATGAAGGACCACGGGGGGTTGACCTTCTCACAGACGCCGAGCCTCTTGATGAAATGTTCAAACGAAAACCATTGACCTCAACTGTCCCCCGAAGGCAGAGCCCTCACCAGACTGGCCTTGGCTTTCAGGCTAAGCAGGGGCAGGGCAGCCCAGCTTTTCAAGTCATTGTCCCTGAGGATGGCATCCAACCAAGTTCCATTGGAAAGTCTGGGTGTCCCCCGCTTTTGGTGCTCGGGAACTAATGTCCTGAGGTGAGATGGCAGCCAGAACCCTAGGACCCCGAAAACACATGTTCTATGCATGGCCACCAAGGTGGCAACAGTGACCCAGCCAGAGGTCCTCCCTGGCGGTCCCAGAGGAAGCAGGAAGCCTTGGGCTGGCCCTGCTGGGATGCGCGGCTGGCTGTCCCCGCCCAGCCAGAGCGGTCCGGGCGGCACTGCGGCTACTCGGGAGGCCCGCTCCGTGTTTCAGCCACCAGGCTGGAGCAGAGGGCACCTCCAGCAGTGAGCTGAAACTGGCTAGACAGCTGGGAAGAGCCCTGTTCACACATCTCTTCCCAAGTCCGTGCCCCGTGTCCCTCTGGTACTCCCAGAGGGAGTATTCGTGCCGCAGAAATTGGCAAACACTACAGATCAGGGATTTTTTTTTTTGACAGTGAGCGAGCTGGTTGTTCAGCATCTAGCACAGCACAGCCACTGCCCGCCCGGGCCTGCAGCACAGCCTGAGCATCGGTGTTGCCCCCGCCCCACCACCTCGCCCAGCCACTGCCCGCCAGGGCCTGCAGCACAGCCTGAGCATCGGTGTTGCCCCCGCCCCACCACCTCTCCCCACCGCTGCCCACCCGGGCCTGCAGCACAGCCTGAGCATCGGTGTTGCCCCCGCCCCACCACCTCTCCCTGCCACTGCCCGCCAGGGCCTGCAGCACAGCCTGAGCATCGGTGTTGCCCCCGCCCCACCACCTCTCCCCACCGCCTGCCGCCAGGGCCTGCAGCACAGCCTGAGCATCGGTGTTGCCCCCGCCCCACCACCTCTCCCTGCCACTGCCCGCCAGGGCCTGCAGCACAGCCTGAGCATCAGTGTTGCCCCCGCCCCACCACCTCTCCCCACCGCTGCCCACCCGGGCCTGCAGCACAGCCTGAGCATCAGTGTTTGCCCCCGCCCCACCACCTCTCCCTGCCACTGCCCGCCAGGGCCTGCAGCACAGCCTGAGCATCAGTGTTGCCCCCGCCCACCACCTCTCCCCACCGCTGCCCACCCGGGCCTGCAGCACAGCCTGAGCATCGGTGTTGCCCCCGCACCACCACCTCTCCCTGCCACTGCCCGCCAGGGCCTGCAGCACAGCCTGAGCATCGGTGTTGCCCCCGCCCCACCACCTCTCCCCACCGCTGCCCGCCAGGGCCTGCAGCACAGCCTGAGCATCGTGTTGCCCCCGCCCCACCACCTCTCCCTGCCACTGCCCGCCAGGGCCTGCAGCACAGCCTGAGCATCAGTGTTGCCCCCGCCCCACCACCTCTCCTCACCGCTGCCCACCCGGGCCTGCAGCACAGCCTGAGCATCAGTGTTGCCCCCGCCCCACCACCTCTCCCCACCGCTGCCCACCCGGGCCTGCAGCACAGCCTGAGCATCGGTGTTGCCCCCGCCCCACCACCTCTCCCCACCGCTGCCCGCCAGGGCCTGCAGGCTGCCCTCTCCTGTCTGGTGAGAGAACAAAAGTGCAGTCCTCTACTCGAGGTGTGGCCACTGTCTACTGCTGCCTCCTCAGGGCTCAGCTAACCGCAGGGCCTGGCCACCATGTAGCCACAAATACTGGCTTAAGACCCAGCCCCCTTGGGCTCGCAGTCTGTGAACACATACATTGTCCCCACACGGGATAATGCAGAAAACACAGAAGTCAGGTGGAACAGCATCACCTGAAATGCACGTGGCCAGAGCCCAGGTGCAGAGTCAGGGGGATGAGGCAGCAGTCAGCAGGGTGCTGGTGCTGAGGACTCTGGGGGCAGGCAGAAGCGAATGGGATGGAGCTCTCTGTTTTAATAACTTCTTAACAATTATTATGGTAATATGTGTTCACTGTAGAGAACTCAGAATAACCTAAACGAGAAACTTTAAGAAGATAAACGTCATTGGAGGTGGGTGGGGCTTTGGAGAGGCAGGGGGAGGCCAAGGGAATGGTGCCTGTTCCCACGGGAGGAGGGCCTTCCCTGCTAGGACCTGGGCGTCCTCACCTGCACGGTGAGAGACACGGGGAGGTGGGGAGTGTGACTGGTGTGGCATCAGTCTGTCAATTTGATTGAAAGCCTGACAAAGGTGGGCATTTTGTAACCTAAGAAATCCATGTGGCTGGGAGAATACATAAGGATACTCATGGCACCATTTCAAGTGCTCAAAACTAGCCGGCCAGTGTGGCTCAGTGGACTGAGCATCTTCCCACACACCAAGAGGTCACCAGCCCAGTCAGGGGTTGTGGGCTCAAGCCCCAGTGGATGGCGTGCAAAAGGCGGCCAATCGATGTTTCTATCTCTCTCTCCCTCTCCCTTTCTTTTTCTCTTTAAAAAAATCAATAAAAACAAAACATACATAGCTTAGTCAATGACAACCAATTGGAACATTATGCTGTGCTAAAAATAAGGTATATAGTTATTAAACTGAAAAATGCTCACAAGATAGTTAAATGAAAAAAGCCGGTTAAAACAATAGGCAGAACTGCACATATAATTGCGTGTGTGTGTGTGTTTTGTTTTCTATATTATTCAGGGCTGGTTAACTGACGTGTGACTTAGCCACACTCGCACCTACATGTATGGAGATAGGTGTGTGTGTATCTATGAAAGATTATGTACCCTGGCCGGTTTGGCTCAGCGGTTAGAGCGTCAGCCCACGGACCAGAGAGTCCCGGGTTCGGTTCCCGCTAAGGGCATGTGCCTCGGTTGCAGTTTGTCCCCGCCCCATTTGGGGTCGTGTGGGTGGCAGCCACTCGATGTGTCTCTCTCACATCAATGTTTCTCTCTCTTCCTCCCTCTCTCCCTCCCACTCTATCTGAAGATAAATGCAAAAATGTCCTCAGGTGAGGATAAAGAAAAAGGGTACATATCAAAGGTTAGCACTGTTACTTGCTAATAATATGAATATGGTTAATTTTTTTCTGGTGTGTATACAACCTGTATCTTCTAATTTTCCTACAAGGACTATCAATTAATTGTGATAAAAAGTAAAAAGTGCTTTGTGTGTTGCAAACTGCAATGCCAACCTGTGCACGTGTGGGCACTGCCTCATAGCCCTAGGCCTACAAGCCAGCAGCTGGGCAGCTCGTCTCTCTAGAGAGCCCCTTTCTCTCTGGTCTCCTGAGACCTTTGTGCTCAGATGCAGTCGGAATGAATTCTTGTTCCCACTGAATCTGTTCCAGAAGCCACGACTAGGCAGAGGGCTACCTGTCACGTGTGCAGCTGGCTCAGGGCCTGGCCCACTGAGCGGTGTGTTACGTGCTGTGAGTCTGCTCTGACTCCGGCGACCCCGTGAAGGAGTGCCGTCCACAGGGCCCTGTCCTCAGCAGCCCTGCTCAGCCACTGCAGACTCAACCATGGCTTCTACTATGGAGTCAGTCCATCCCGTGTTGGGTTTAATCTCGTCCTGCTGCCTTCCGTTTTCCAAGCATTACTGTTCTGATGTGTCTGAAGTAGGAGGGCTTTGGTTTTGTCACTTTTGCCTCCAGCGATGCTTCAGGCTTGATTTGCTCCCCTGAATGGACCTGGTCCTAATATCTGCTCTGACAACCACCAGCATGCCCCTCTACCTTTCTGGTTGCTTCGCTGGCAGGTCTGCATGCCACCAGAGTGGTCCCTCCCACACCCTCAGGTAACAGGGCACAGATGTGGCTGGAAGCCCAGCCCTGGCTCTCCAAAGGCACAGGGACACTGAGCCTGAAGGGCAAGGCCCTCGGAGTGCCCTGGGCAGGGGTCCCTGAGCCTCCACTGCTCCCCGAGGCTAAGGGCAGGGAGGGTGGTGAGCTTCCTGAAAGTGGTTCTGAGACCACAGAGAGGTTTATATGACCTTGGAAAGACCAAACAGGGACAGAACAATTTCGTGTTTACAAAATGCTGCCTTATCAAGAGGCAGGAGCTCAGGCGTTGTGCGGACTGTGAGAAGGTCAAAGGGCAGACACACAGAAAGGATAAGAGAACTGAAGGCTCGGAGACATGGTGAGAGGATGACAGGCACTCAGGAGGGTGACGATGGAAACGAGACTGACAGCGTTGGCCACAGCGAAGGAGACGGGACCCAGGTTTCTTATCCTTTCGTTTAGTCTGTGCAGTGAGGTGCCCCCGGCAGCGCTGAAGACAAGGCCGTGGTCAGCACTGGTGTTCAGTCCGGGTTTCATTCTGCGACTCTCCTGCCGGCTCGCAGTCAGAACATCGCCAGAGCGAGGCCACACGGCCCACGGACAGGCAGACGTGGCTGCCATCACCACAGAACACTCATCTGACACTTTGCTCATGAAAGCAAACTGTGTCGACCGCCAGAGAAGAGAAGAGGCCGACAGTGCCACCTGCGGACACGCGTTTGCCACTCGGGTCCGAGGAGACATCTGTGTGATGTGAGCAGCAGCTGAGCCGGCCCTGGCCCTAAGGCACACCCGCCGCAAGGCAGGTGGCTGGGGGTGCCACGTGCCAAAAGGCCTTCTGGGCGCTGACCCTGAGCTGGCCCGGCTACTGTGGCAGTGCCACCCTGAGACTGCCAGTCCTTCCCTTCCCTTCACTTAGACAGCGCTGCCTCAATTCAGCAGTGCCAACAGTTTGACTTTGCAGACACTAGTGGATTTTCCAAAGTCAAACCAGAGCATGAGGCTAGAGTCAAAGGGCCTGAGCTCGGGAGCCCTGGAGCCCGGGGAGGTGGGCGGTGGCAGCGGAGCTGGAGGCGGTGGGGCAGGGAAGCTGCGGGGGGGCGCGCGGCGGCACTCACCTGCGCATGCACTCCAGAGCCTGGGTGAAGACCTGCGGGGCCATGCCGTGCTCATGCTGCAGGATCAGGCACTGCTCCAGCGTCACCGACATGGCCGTGCGGTCCTTGGCGCTCTTGCAGCTGGTGAACCGGACCCCGTTAAGGCGGCGGCAGATCTGCCAACAGGAAAACAGGCTGTGCTTAGAGGGTGACTGCAGAAGGAGACGTCCCAACTTGAGACAGAGGCTCTGGAAGGCCCAGCAGGGATGTGGCAACAGCTCAAGCCCAGGCCCAGCCATTCCCTCTGCACCTGCTCCCAACTCCACATCCTGCCAGAGGGCTGTGACGGAGAAGCCACCTCACCATCAGGGACCGCTTCCCTCCCCATGTGCCGGCCTGCAGGATGCTCCTTCCAGTCCAGGCTCCCTCCCATTTGGAGGTGTCATGCTCTGTGCGCTGACCTTTCCAGCTACCCTCTTCCAAACTATAATGACATCCTGTCACATTCAGCCCTGGTGCTGACCCCTCTGAGGGCAGGGGAGGAGCAACAAAGACCAACTCAGGTCAGAGCAGCTCCGAGGGTGTCCAGCCCCTGGCCAGGCCCTCAGGCCTTCCTGGAAGGCACAAACGGACCCACTGGTCTCTCCTCTCCTCCTGCACAGACGGGACCATTCAGAAGGCCACTTCCCTTTCGCCACCTGCTGACCGCCAGCCCCGCAGGCCGTTCACCATCCCCTCTCCAGGGCCCTGGCACAGGACTAGGCCCCAGGGTGCCTCCCTTCACATAACAGGGGCTCCTGTGTGGGGCCACCTGCAGGCTGGGAAAGGAACACCTCCAGGCATCCCCTTGCCTCACAGTAAAAATGTTTGCATCACCTCCTCTGCCCCACTAGATACAATCCTTGGTATACAGTCCCCAAATCCAGAAAACCCTAAAATAAAAGATTTCCCTTGGTTGAGTCGTGGCATCCTCACTGGGCAGCAGGCCCAGAGGCGAGCTGGGGTGAGCCTGGCGACGACGGCCCCTCCTTATCCCGTTTGGCAACAGCCATTCTTTTCAGGGAAGCACCTGAGTGATTCCAGATGCTTCCCCAGAGCTGCCGGGATCTTAAACCACGCACACGCACCGTGTTCATGTATGTGCACCAACTGTGTACCACGCCACTTCTAAGGAGCCCTGTGAAGTCCAGAACATCTGGCCAGAGTTTCAGCCAGGCCTGCAGCATGGACCAGACACCGCACTGCAAGATCGCCACTGGCTTCGCACGAGAAGTCACCCACGCTGGACAGCGCTGGGCTCCAGTGACCGCTGACTCCAGAAAGATCTCTGGGCCACCGCAAAGCAGCCCTGAGGATGGCACCACACCGCTTCTCGGGCCAGCACAGCCACAGCCCACGGCCACCACTGGGACACCACCAGGTGGAGAGCAGTGTGGTCCCAACACTGTGTCCGACAGAAGACAAAATGGTAAAGGCCCAACACATTCAGCTACCACCACCAGGAGGGCAGGCTTCTTTTGAGAACAGACAAAAACATTTTTTTAAAGAAAAAAAGAGACCCTAAGTAGTCGCTAAGTAAAGAATGATTTCATTCAGATCTGCAAAACTGTCACCGACGAAGCAAGGGTAAACGGGGACAGGCTCCCTGAACTCAAGCTGCCGGGTTTGTGACCGACACATGGCACGACAGGAACCACAGCCCTCACGGTGGCACCTCCAGAGCTGAGGCCCAGTAGGAAGCCAGGGGCCGAGCACGCCTCTCGCCCTAGAGGGCACCACTGGCAGTGCCAGGCTTGTCTCCGGGAGCCACCAGCCGGCCTGGGGACTCTGGCTGGCCCTGCCATCCGCCAAGTGAGGGATTGGACCTGACTAGTCATCCCTCGCCACTTTGCGCTTCGACTTTTGTGTCTTCATTCTATCACGGTTTTGAAAAAACTGAAAGGGACGACTGTATATATAAAGACTCCTACTTCATGGAAATTCATTTATCGCAGTAGAGTCTGGAACTGATTAACCGCAATAAACGAGGGCCGACTGTAATGATATTCCAACCGGTTAACTAGGGACCCCCTGCTCATACACACAAATGAAAATAAATAAGATCCAGAAAAGGCGGCAGCTCTGGTCAGAGTGAGGATGGGAGGGCCCAGGACCCGTGTGGCTTAGCACTGCTGCCCCAGGGGATCCCAGGTGGACCACATGAGAACCGATGCACCCAGGATCTCTGAGACCCTTCCCACTCCGAGTCTACACTTCTGTGCCCTGGGCCTGTCGTGGAACAAACACTGTGCTGGACAGGCTGCTTTTTCTGGCCTGGTGATGAGATGGTCAAACGTCATCATAGGTGATAGTTTTTCTCTCATGTAGCAAGAGAAAAACAGAACCACAGTTCCTGAACAAGGTACGCACAGGTCTCTGCACCCACTGTCTGTAAAGCTGTGGGGGACAGCCCCCCAACTACTTCTTGGGCTTTCCACCCAGGCTGTGGCCCAGCTGTCAGTGGGCAGTGAGGGCCAGCTCCTTCTCCCAGGACAGAGAGATCTGTGTCCGTCCTTCCCGTGCTCAGGAAGGCAGGGAGCTGCGGTGCCATCTGGGGCCACTTGTGCCCCCAAGTCTGTGACCAACGGCCAACAGGTCCCAGTGCTGCAGAGAGTCAAACCTGCCCCGTCGGGGTGAGCAAACCACTGGCTATGAAAAGGCTCTGACACCGGGCTCAGAGCAGGGCCCTGGACTCCACAGGAAACCCTATGAGAACAGACCTGAAGTGCTAGGTGCTCAGGGGAAAGAGGGGCCGAGCTGCCACGTTAAACACTATTGAAAGACCAGAAAGGTCACACGGTCTCCTCCTGGACCTATGAGGAGACACAGGAGACAGGTGAGCTCAGCTGTATCGACTGTGCGGGCCTCCGAGGGTGACGACCCACCAGCCTGGTTGTCAAGTGCCTGGAGTCAGATTCTGGGTCAAGCTTATCAGGATTCAGGCAGCCCAGAAACAACGAAGCCCATGAGTCATGGGCAACTTCCAGTATCTGCCCGAGTTTTGGGACACGCTCAGTGTCTCTGTCGTGTCCTTACGGGGAAACATGCTCTCTGGGCTCTGACCTAGAGGTGGGTTTGTTGTTACTGTGGCTCTTATTGTTACCACTGCAGCAGGAGCAACAGTAACGCCCGGGCCCGCTGTAAGCGCACCTCAGCAGCTTGCCAGAGGATGTCCACGTTCTTGTTCTTCCTGGCGTGGACGTTCTGGCCCAGGAACCGCAGCAGCTCTGGCAGGCATGTCTGGCTCCGAGACCGAGGTAAGCCTAGAAGAGAGGAGGGGCTGGGAGCTGGTGCCACCCCCAGGCGCTCAGCCCAGTGAGCTGTCAAGGCTCAGAAATGGCAGAAAGACAAGCTCCTGGCTGAAGCTGGAAGTTTACTGTGATTTAAGCAAGAAAGCAGGAGTGTGTTTAGGGTCTGGACCTGGCTACCAGGTGAGAACTTAATGACTTCACCACCAATTCGTTCACCTGCAAAGGGCACTTGCTTCGTCCCTTCAGCTCCTCCAAGGGGCTGGAGGGCAGACACTGAACCCCAAGGGCGGGACGAAGGGAGGAAGGAGGGAGGGACACCGTCTGGTCTTCACAACCTCCCGCAGGGACAGAGGACACTTTGCGCAGTGGTGTGTACCACTGCGTAGGCTTGGCCATCACTGGGGGTGTGGGAAGGGCAGCCCCTGCAGGCGGACTGAGAGTGACCCGGGCTGGGGCACCCTCTCCCACAGCTCCCTCTGCCACTGTGACATCTCCAGGCGCTCCCAGCACCCCACAAACCGGAGATCAGTCAGATCACCACCTCGCCTAATAAACCTGGGATGTTCAGACACAGGGATCATAGAGAAAAAGAGGAGAACAGCCACGGTGCCCAAATTCCCAAATCAAAACCGAATCCATGGAATGTTGGGGTCTAGCTGCATGTACGGTGTTCACCATAAGCCTGACCCTGGTGGACACAGGGTCCCATGCTGATTATCTCACACTCCCGGTATGTGCCCAGTGCCACGCGGGTCAGAGGACAGGGCACAGACAGAACAGAAGCGGCTCATTCAGTGATGGAGGTTGTGGGTGCCCAGAGGAGCCCATCGTACTTCCCCAGACCAACTGTGGCTTCCCCTGGCCTCCCCTGCCAGCCGCTTTAGTGCAAACGGAGGTCCCGGGGGGGGCAGGGGTCCATCTGCTCAGCCTCCACAAACCAGCAGTTCTGCAGGAGCGAAGGCTACACGCTGCCCTTCCCCCAGGCCCCTGGGTCTGGGTCCGAAGCTGCTGGCCCTGCCCTAGAGGGGCTCTGGCCAGGTTGCTCATCTCCTGCAGCTGCACCCTCCTCAGCTCCTCATCCAGCCATGTTAACATCTCCTGGGGCCTCACATCACTGGAGCCCGGCCGCCCCCCAAAATGTTAAGCACAGACCTCTCCCTTCCTGACCACATTGTCTGTCAGTGACTAAGACCATGTGTGACAGAGCCCTGTGGGAAGGGTGGGACCAGGATGGTCAGAAAAGAGCCCAAGGCCGGAAGTCTGAGGGGTGCAAGGGCTACTATGGGGGCAGGGAGCAAGGCAGGAGGCAGCACCCCAAAGGCCGGTAAGCAGCCAGTGGCAGGAAGCACACCCAAAGTGACACAAGACCATAGGTGGGACCTACCACAAGTGAAGAAATACTTACAATCCTCGGGCAAAACTTCCTTAAACTGCTCGAAGTAGGAATTTAACCGCACCAAACTCTCCATGTTGATAACTTCTTGTAAAGAGGTATCACCAAACCTTCGGAGGTCACAGGAGATGCCGTTAGCTGGCTAATGTCACTTTCTTCTAGTAAGACCATATGCATTAAGGCTAACAAGGACGCTTCTCTCAACATTTACTGAGCACATCCAATAAGTTCTGAGTCCCTTCCCTGCTCCCAAGCAGAAGGCTGTCATCTGCAATGTGCTGGTGACAAGTTCAAACACATTTCAGTAGCAGGAGCCACGCAGGACTGGTGACAGACCTGCCTGTACCAGTCCCTGGTACAGCACAGCCCACAAACCCCACACACTGGGTGGAGGCCCTGCCATCCTGTCCGAGGTACCCACAGCCCTGTGCCTGGTCTGAGTCGCACTGTCTGCCGAGTGACCCCACCTCACAGGCAGCCAGGACATGCCGCGGGCAGGCAGAGGCAGAGGAAAGCCACCACCAGGTGCAGAGCAGTCACAGAGCACGCAGACTCCGACTCCAGGGCCAGGTGCAGCCCAGTGCCAGCCCTTCCTGCTGAGCGAGCTCCCTGCCCTGCAGCCTTCCCACGGTGCCACGTCCTTGCTCAGCGGACAGGGCTCCCTCCTGTGGGTCCACCACAGCCTGTCCACCCTGAGGACCGTGATGGCTTTTCCTCTGGACACCTGCTGCCGTGGGAGTCACCCTGGGGCATGGCCGCTGTGCTGGTTTTGAGCTGAGGGGAGAGTGTCCCAGGAGCAAAGCAAAACCCTTGACTCACCCCACCATCATGTCCCCCTCCATCGGCCCCTTTGCTCACTGCGCTGTGGCCCTGCTCCCGCAGAGTCCTCAGGAACAGCAGCTGCCCCGTGCAAGGGGCACAGTTCTCCCAGGTGCCTCCCCGCCCACCCTAGCACTCCCACTCTCCCTGAAGTGGGCTCCTCCACCTGCCCACACCTTGGAGGGCTCTGAGCCCAGCTCTCCATCGCCCGGCCCTGCTGCAGCTCCTGAGTGCAGTGCCCCGCCCCTGCTACAGATGGAGAAGCCTGGCTGTCTCTCCCCTGGCTGTCAGTGCCCTGGCTGTCTCTCCCCTGGCTGTCAGTGCCCTGGCTGTCAGTCCCCTGGCTGTCAGTCCCCTGGCTGTCTCTCCCCTGGCTGTCAGTCCCCTGGCTGTCTCTCCCCTGGCTGTCTCTCCCCTGGCTGTCTCTCCCCTGGCTGTCTCTCCCCTGGCTGTCTCTGCCCTGGCTGTCTCTCCCCTGGCTGTCAGTCCCCTGGCTGTCTCTCCCCTGGCTGTCTCTCCCCTGGCTGTCTCTCCCCTGGCTGTCAGTCCCCTGGCTGTCTCTGCCCTGGCTGTCTCTCCCCTGGCTGTCTCTCCCCTGGCTGTCTCTCCCCTGGCTGTCAGTCCCCTGGCTGTCTCTGCCCTGGCTGTCTCTCCCCTGGCTGTCTCTCCCCTGGCTGTCAGTGCCCTGGCTGTCAGTCCCCTGGCTGTCTCTGCCCTGGCTGTCTCTCCCCTGGCTGTCAGTGCCCTGGCTGTCAGTGCCCTGGCTGTCAGTGCCCTGGCTGTCAGTGCCCTGGCTGTCAGTGCCCTGGCTGTCAGTCCCCTGGCTGTCTCTCCCCTGGCTGTCAGTCCCCTGGCTGTCTGTCCCCTGGCTGTCAGTCCCCTGGCTGTCAGTCCCCTGGCTGTCTCTCCCCTGGCTGTCAGTGCCCTGGCTGTCAGTGCCCTGGCTGTCAGTCCCCTGGCTGTCAGTCCCCTGGCTGTCTCTCCCCTGGCTGTCAGTCCCCTGGCTGTCTGTCCCCTGGCTGTCAGTCCCCTGGCTGTCTGTCCCCTGGCTGTCAGTCCCCTGGCTGTCTGTCCCCTGGCTGTCCCTCTTACACCTGCCCAGCAGAGGACCCAACCTTCCATCTCACTGTTGAAGTCACTCCTCTGGCTCGACTCTTTCCAACAAGCTCCTCAGTACACTTGACCCCTAACACTGGTCAGAACATGGCAGCAAGCAATCTCGTTGACAGGCAAACCTGACCGTGTCTGCCTGCTGCCTCTTCTTCCATGTCCCCACCAGCCACACCACATTTGCCAAGTGGGGTGACCCTACACATAGGGGTCAATCAATATTGACCATTGGGTTTAAAAGCCCAGCAGGGCCCTGGCAGGTGTGGCTCAGGAGTTAGAGCACTGGTCCATACACCAAAGGGTCATGGGTTCAATTCCCAGTTGAGGGCACATACCTGGGTTGCAGGTTCGATTCCTGGCCCAGTCGGGGCTTGTGTGAGAGGCAACCAATTGATGTGCCTCTCTCACCAAGATGTTTCTTTCTCTCTCTCTCCGTCCTTCCCTCCCTCCCTCCCACTCTAAGAATTAATGAGAACAAGTATCCTCGGTGAGAATTAACAAAAACAGCAGGAATATGGTCTGTCATCTGGAGACTGAGCATCCTTAACAGAAAGTTGAGACATTTTCAGTCTAAAGCACACACATCACATGAATGTCATATAATTTAGGAGAGATTTTCATGCACCCAGTGAACAGTCGTGACAGGGTACACACACCCAACGCCCTCCTCTGCTGCATACACACAACACATATGCACACACATGCACACACACATGCATGCACACACAGCTCCTCCTGCTGCCCAGCAGGTGACCCTGAAGGGTGTTTACAAGGTGTAAAGGATCAAGGTGTGGCTCTCAACGTGGCCTGCTGGCCTCTCTCACCTCACCACTGCCCGTCCTGCGAGAGCCTGGGCTTCTGGCCCCAGCAGCCTCTCCTGCCTACCGTCGCTCAGGCCTCTGGGACCGGGACGCCAGGTGTCTCCACCTCCTCGTCTGACCAATTCGCACTTACTCTTCCACCCACCTCAGTGACTGCCCCTCCTGGAAACCGCACAGACCCTTTCAGGCCCCTGGTCCTTGCATTACTTTCATACTTGCACCCACATCTCTTTCCTACCAGCCCACAGACCATGTCTGGTGCATCTCTGTGTCCCCAGCACCACAGACAAGCTGGGGACATGGCTGCACTGAAAGACGTGGCCAAAAGGATGGGCCAGCCAAGTCCACCCAGCACGCGGAGCCTGAGGAGGCTAAGTTCACGGTCTACCTCATCTCAAGGACTGCCCACCACGCCGTGGCCCTGGGGCTGCGCACATACCTCTCGGCCAGCGTCTGCTGCTCGTTGATGCCCACGTTGAAGAGCACGGGCTGCACCCGCAGCAGCATGCCGCTCTGGATCTCCCGGGGCAGGGTGTCGAACAGGGCGCCCGGCAGAGGGATCCGCACGTTGAACCCATCCCTAGGACACGGAGAGAGGACAAGGGAGGTTAGGCTTGTGACGAGGACACGGGAGTGGAGGCGTGGGAGAAGGCGACAACCGAGCTCTCCTTAGCACGGAGTGTGGGTTGGCTGTCGGGCTCAGTGACATCCACACGGCTGGGTGTGAACCTTCAGAGAATGAAATTAATGTACAGGGCTGTGATAGGCACTTTTAACTGACTAAAGCAATAAAACAAAATTTAAGAATGCATGCAGGGACTTCTGGACAACATGATGCTGTAGATAAATGTGGTACTGGAATCCTCCCACTATCACATCAAAATTACAACTAAACTAGCCCTGGCTGGTTTTGCTCGTGGTTAAAGCGTCAGCCTGTGGACCAAAAAGTCACAGGTTCAATTCTGGTCAAGGGCAAGTACCTTGGTTGAGGTTCATCCCTGGCCTAGTTGGGGTTGTGCAGGAGGCAACCAGTGGATGTGTGTGTGTCTCTCTCTCTCACTCTCTCTCCCCTTCTCTCCCCCTCCCTCCCACTTTCTCCGAAGACAAATGGAAAATTATCCTTGGGTGAGGATTAAAAATAAAAATTACAACTAAATTACAGAACAACCATCATTCAGAACCACCTGAAAGCAAGCTGAATGGAAGTCCTACAGCTATGAAATTAAAGCAGCAGCCACATGGAGACTGGAAGGAGGGGCAGAAATGTGCAAGGGCTGGTCCCACACCCACGTGTGGTGGATAAAAATCAGGAGGGACACCTCGGCTGGAAAGGTCTTCCCTGAGGAGTGAGGAGTACCCGTCCCACACCAAGCATCTAGCTCAGGGTTCTAGTGCCAAGCTCAACTACAAGAGGAGGATATACAGCCCAAGGGGAGAAGGGTGAAAGGGACAGGGAGCAACTCAAGTGCCCAGCTTCAGTGATCAGGGAAGCTATGCCACTGGACCCTACAGTACACATACTACATTAGGCCACCCAAGCCTGGGAGATGTAGCATCTAATACATAGAAACAAACACAAGGAGGCAGCCAAAATGAGGAAGCAAAGAAACATGTCCCAAATGTAAGAACAGAACTAAACTCCAGGAAAAAAACTAAACTCCCGGACAGTGTGGCTCAGTGGTTGAGTGTTGACCCATGCACCAAGAGGTCACCAGTTCAATTCCCTATCAGAGCACATGCCCAGGTTGTGGGGTGCATACAGGAGGTGGCCAATCAATGTTCTCTTCCATTGATGTTTCTATCTCTCTCTCCCTTTCCCTTCGTCTCTCTCTAAAATCAATAAAGAAAAAAATTTTTTAAAAAGAAATAAACAAAACAGAGACAAACAACCTAACAGATACAGAGTTCAAAACAGTGGTTGTAAGGCTGCTCAAGAAACTTAGTGAGAACTTCAACAGCATAAAAAAGTGCATGGAAACCATAAAAGAGAACCAGTCAAAAATAAAGACTACACTAATTGAAATGAAGAATAATTTATAGAGAATCAACAGTTGAAAGATGGAGCTGAGACTCAAACCATCGATTTGGAATATAAAGAAGCAAAAAACATCCAATGAGAACAGAAAAAAGAATCCAAAAAATGAGGATAGTGTAAGGAGTTTCTGGGACAACTTCAAGTGTACCAACATTCGCATCATGGGGGTGCCAGAAGGAGAAGAGAGAGAGCAAGAAATTGAAAAACTATTTGAAAAAATAATGACAGAAAACTTCCTAACTTGGTGAAGGAAACAGACACACAAGTCCAGGAAGCACAGAGAGTCCCAAACAAGATGAACCCAAAGAGGCCCACACCAAAACACATCATAATTAAAATGTTAAAAACAAAGAGAGAATCTTAAAAGCAGCAAGAGAAAAACAATTACTCAACAATGCTATCATTTAGATCAAAGGACAGATAAAGAGCTTCCCAGACAAGAAAAAGCTAAAGGAGTCCATCATCACCAAACCAAGTATTACACAAAATGTTAAAGGGTATTCTTTAAGAAGAAAAAAAGAAAAAAAATATGAATAGCCCTGGCCAGTTTGGCTCAGCAGTTAGAGCGTCCGCCCATGGACTGGAGAGCTGCAAGTTCATTACCCGGTCAAGGGCACGTACCTGGGTTGTGAGTTGGATCCCTGGCCCTGGTTGGGGTCATGTGGGAAACAACCAACTGATGTCTCTCTCACATCCATATTTCTCTCTTTCTCTTTCCTTCCCTCCCTTTCACTCTATCTAAAAAAATCAACGGAAAAATATTCTTGGGTGAGGACTAACAAAAATATCATATATATATGAAATATATATATATATGAACAATAAAGTGGTAATAAATACACACCTATCAACAATTGAATGTAAAAAACAAAATAAACTAACAAGCAGAAAATAAACAGACTCATACATACCAAGAACATTCTGTTGAGCAGGAGGCGACCAATTGATGTGTCCCTCTCACATCGATGTTTCTCTCTCTCTCTCTCTCTTCCTCCTTCCCTCCCACTCTATCTGAAGATAAATGAAAAAAACATCCTCGAGCAAGGATTAGAAGAAAAAAAATAGAGTGCATGGAAGGTAATAAACATAAATAAGACACTGCTAATTCTGAGAACTTGAAAGCACTTCCACCGATTTCCAGTGATGACAGGCAGCATGTCAGCCGATGCGCTGGAAGTGGCCTGAGTGACTTTGAAGGTCACGTTCCTCAAGTCCATGATTCCAAGGCTCATGTCCTCTAGCATGGCCAGCTCCTCACCTGCATGCAAAAGAGGGAAGGAGGGCTGTCAGATGGAGGGGACCTGCCACTCTCCCCAGACACAGCCTGGTCACAGGATGGGGCGCAAATGGGAGGCGGCACAATGAGGTGTGGCTGTGATGAGAGAGGGCAAGAGTGGGCAAGTTGCTTCTCCCGAGTAAATGCTGCTCTGAAACCCGCAGCTGGTGGAAACCTGGACCATGCTGCCCAGCCCCTTCCTGGAAGGGAAGTGGAGAGGGACATGGACAGGCATGGACCCTCAGAAGGCAGAGCTGGCTCTTCGCACATGCACAGAGAGAGGACAAAACAGTGTGCGTGGCCAGGGCCTTCCGCTGCACACAGCTGAATGTTTGATGGATGTCTTTTAACTCTAAAGACTAGCAAATACTTCTAAAATTAGTCACTTTTACCTTCTCAGAACAAATAAAAATGGAGGTAGGAAGAAAGAGTCCTTTTTAGAGAGCAATTTGGATATATCTATGAAATTTAAAAATATTCTTCTTTTTTAAAAAAATATTTTTAGCCCTGGCCAGTTTGGCTCAGCGGTTAGAGCGTTGGCTTGCGGTCCGGAGAGACCCAGGTTCAGTTCCTGCTAAGGGCATGTACCTCGGTTGCAGTTTGTCCCCGGCCCTGGTTGGGTCGTGTGGGTGGCAGCCACTCGATGTGTCCCTTTCGTGTCGATGTTTCTCTCTCTCTCTCTCTCTCTCTCTCTCCCCCTCCCTCCCTCTCACTCTATCTGAACAAAATATCAAAAAATGTCCTCGGGTGAGGACTAAAAAACAAAAACAAAAAACAAAAAATATTTTTATTGCCCTGGCCGGTTTGGCTCAGCGGTTAGAGTGTCAGCCTGCAGATCAAAAGGTCTTGGGTTCGATTCCTGGTCAAGGGCATGTACCTGAGTTGCAGGTTCATTTCCTGGCCCCATTCGAGGCTATGCAGCAGGCAACCAATGTGTCTCTCCCATGTTGATGTCTCTCTCCCCGCCCCCCCTTCCACTCTACCTAAAAAAAAAAATCAATGGAAAAATATCCTCAGGTGAGAATTAGCAAACAAAAACATGCCCTGGCCAGTTTGGCTCAGTGGTAGAGTGTGGGCCTGCAGACCAATGAGTCATGGGTTCGATTCCGGCCAAGGGCACATACACCTCTGTTAAGGTTCATCCCTGGCCCTGGTTGGGGTCATGTGGGAAGCAACCCGTCAATGTGTCCCTCTTACACGGATGTTTTTCTCTTCCTCCCTTTCTCTCTCTCTCTCACCCCCTCCCACTCTACCTGAAGATAAAAGGAAAAAATATCCTCGGGTGAGGATTAAGAAAAACAAAACAAAAACAAATATATAGATCTCATGTACTTTGATGACAATGGGTTTATTTGAATCAGCATATGTTACTTGTATAATCAGAATAAGCAGAAGAAAGCACAGGATCCCATGCGTCCACCCCCAGGAGCCCCTGGACGCCGCCGGGGTCTCACCGTAGGTGCTCAGCAGGCTCTCAAACTGGGCGAGCAGCCCGATGGTGTGGAGCTGCCGCAGGAAGCCGTCGTCGTGCAGGCAGTTCCTCAGCTTGATGACGAAGCCGCAGATGAGCGCGGTCAGCTGTGGGGACAGACCCTCCTCATCCAGGGCACCTGCCCTGGCTCGAGCCCCTCTGCCCCTCGCTCGAATCGAGCTTTAGCAGCACCCCTCTGCTTTGGGGTCTGGGGGTAGGTGCCTGTCTCTGGGGCCCCGGAGGCTGTGCCCCATTCCAGGCTCGCTCCCGTTGCTTCCAAAGGTGAGGATGGTTGGGCTCAGCCTCTGACCTGACCTGTCTGCAGTTACTCCTGGGCTAGGACTTCCTGGAAGCCAGGAATGAATTCCTCAGTGAAAGGGTCACATACACAGAGCCGTACCAGCTCTGGCTGGAACCTGAGGTGACCACAGCAAGGAATCGAGTGAGAGAGGACACAGCCACCCTGCATGCCTCCTCAGTGGGCGATTTTCCACGGGAAGCAGGCCTCACAGGGGTGGGTGAAGACACGCAGAGGAGCAGCCCAGCCCTGCAAGACTGCACCCTTTGCTAAACTGAAGACGGCCATCGCTGAAACTTGTGGCGTTCATTTAAGCCCTTCCCTTCCTGAGGAGACAGAGATCACTGGAACAGAGCTGCGCACACTCGGCGGCACTGAGCCCGCCTGAGGAACAGGAAGGCAGATCGTGCTGACAGAGAGCAGCTGTGTCCCCCAACTCCTCCGGAGGGAAGAGAAGGTGGCAAAGAGGCCTGAGCCGCTGGCACTGCCGCCACATCCGCGGGGCAGGGGGAGCAGGCGTGTGCTTTCCCTCAGTGCCTGTCCTTCGGAGGGACTCGTGTGGAACCAGACCCTCTTCTGCCTGCAGACAGCTGACAGGTCCCTCCCTCTGTGTTACACCACAGACTGTCATGTTAAATGAATGTGAATGCGAGAGGCAGGAGAACACACTGCCTTCTGTGGCCTTTCCTTGCCCTGGGTGCGAGGTCAGATGCGGGCTTACGGTCTGGCAGAAGACCACGTCGCGGCGGTGCTGCAGGCTCAGGTAGGTGGCGATGGTGGGCGCGCTGTCCTGCATCAGCAGGAAGACCATGGCCTTCTTGGCTTTGTCGCTCATCATGGCCACGCAGTCTGTGAGTGTGGTCAGCAGGGGGTAAAGGGCCTCACTCCATTCACCTAGGCACGGGTGGGGGATGGGGGATAGCATGTGAGAAGGAAGATGAAGAAGGAGGTTCTGGAGTCTAACAAGGTGCCACCCCCTAACCTGCACTGCCCTCTCTGTGCCCACGCCCACCCCTTCTGCATCCTCTAACTGCCTGGTCCACACTCTGGCCCCGAGTTCTGCCTGGATATGATCCAGTCTCTAATCTTCCACCCTGAAGCTTTCCAGTGAACTCAACTCAGTCCTCTCCTGGGACCCAGACACATGCCTGGTCTCCCAAACCTGTGGGAACTTGACACATAAATACTCAAGACTATCCTTTTTTAGGAAAACTACAAGAGAAAACCCTGCAAGTCATGACTAATGAAGAAAATCCCCGTCTGCAGAGGCCAAGGCCCTTGGACAGCATCCCCGTCCTCCACTCCAGGACAAAGGCACTCAGAAAGGTGACCTGTCACCTTGCGTCTCTCGACTCAGGTAGTAAGGCAGGCCCATCCTTCCAGAGCAAAGGACAACCCATCCTTACCCAGCCTTCGTGCCACTGTGCTCAAGTCTCCCTCTGCAAGTCTGGAAGAACCGTCTCGCACGGTTTCTGCTTCTCAGCTCCCAGAGCGCCCCTTCCTTCTGTACCCACTCTCTTCCCCACCCGACCTTCCTGCCCGGTTGCCATCTCTTTCTGGCTTAGGGGGTTTTAGGAGTATAAGGAAGCTTTGGCCCTGTACCAAAACAACTTTTTAAAAATAGAACCTCATCAGGGAAGAAAAACAGAGTGAAGGTATTTTTGGCTTTGGCTCTTTTCCCTTCCTATTTAGAAGACATTTAAAGGGAGAAGGTGTGACCTTATCAGCTATCTTTTCAACAGGTCACCAAACCCAGAAACAGGCATCTGACCAGCAGCACTGGGTGTGCCCACCAAACCACATGCGGCAGAGGCGGGGAGTGAAGCCTGGGCAGCGCATGCTTCTGGGGACAAGGGTGTCAGCCACAGATGCCCACAACTGCCGTGGCTCTCAGGAAGGCCCCGGGCCACGTGCATCTGCCAGGGCTCCGTCTCAGACGAGCAGCACAGAGGACAACTGGCTCTGCTCTCAGACCGTGTCTTCAGAACAGCTCGGAGGAAGACCCCGCTGGGTGCCGGTGAGCCCGGGTGTTTGAAGCATATGTAGGTGTTCTGAATGCGGCAATGACCTCACTGTGTACGTGGGCCCACCGTACGTGGACAAGGATTTGTATGTGTAATGGAAAAGAGCAGGCTCAGATTTAGAAAGTCTACAGCAGAAAGGTCTTGGCAAGTGAATCACGGTGACAAAGAACGTGGGACCAAAGAGCGGAAAATGTGCGTCCCGGGCCTGACTGACGCTGAGCAGGGGTGGGGGGGCGGGCAGGTCCCTGACCCTCTCTGCTTTGTGGGTCCTTCTTGGTAAAATGAGAGAACAGTACTAATACCCAAGTCTCTTCCACCTCCTAAAAATCTCAGAGATTGTGTTTCTGTTTCTTTGAAGAACTCTGTCAATTACATCCAGCAACTATTATAGAAGGCCAATAGCAAGTCAGCTTTAGTGGCCACACAATTTGGGAAACGCTGGGCACCATGAAGATATTTGACAAAATTGCCCTTGGAGCAAATGTTGCCAATTTTACTTTCTTCTCCACTTAACATCCATATACATATGCAATTAATATGCAAAGTATGATCATTTAAACCCGAAAATGCTCAAAATACATGACTGGTTTTATCTAAGCAAGCCCTCCCCATACAGCACTTTTTGACTTTGCCTACTTCTCCTTCAAAAAGATTGACAGAAGAATAACTCAGCTTTGCTACATTAAAAACAAACAAAACACCACCACTGAAAAGACTGCAGTGTAGAAGAACGGTGAGATGGCACAAGGGCGGTCCTGAGGGGGAGGCGCAGACCGGCCCAGGCTCCGCCGCGCGCCTCCGCCGTCCGACTGGCCATCTCCTCACTCAGTCCACGGACAGATCCTGGACACAGCCGTGTGGTTTCTATGACATCAGGAACTTCAGAGTAGGGGTTGGGGGTGGGGTTATATATTTTGTGTCAACATAAGGAGAAGCTAAAATTTAAAACTTTCAAACAAACAAATTTCACAGACAGTAACATGATGTGTACCCAGGATCTTTAGTAAAGGCACCTGGGATGGGAGGGTGGAGAAGGGTTATATGCTCTGCTTCCTTCATCAACAAAGTCTTGCTATGAAAGAAAACAGTAGCAGTCACCAGGCGCCCCAGGGATGCAGCCGGCTCACTTGGAGACAGCTCCTTTACCTAGTTGCTAACCTGTAACATTCACTGACTGGTAGCCAATCCATGGACCATATTTTTGCATTTTTTCCCTGTTAACAGGGGAAGGAGGGAGGGAGACTGAGAGAGAGAGAGAGGGCGAGAGTTAATCCAGACTCAGTAAGGTCCTGCAGGAGAAGCCAAAGGAGTTCCTGGAGGGGACCACTCTAGTGCGCTTGCCGTGGACTCTGGACACGCCCCAGCGCTTCTGCACAGGCCCACTGACACAAGCCAGGAGAGCTCTAAAGCCAGGCAGGTCTGGTGCTGCCTGCCCAGGGGCCCACTAGCCTTCCCATTAGCGCCACAGACTTCAGGACACGCATGGAGGAGGACCCTGGCTGCAGGGGCAGGCTCACGCTGCCACCCCTCTCCTGGTCCGGACTGCTGGTGTGGTCCCGAACTTCACGGCTCAGGCTCCAGGGAGACCAGCTCAGCATGCAGGCACAGACCGGCTGTGGAGGTGAGCTGAGGACTGGACGCCCGGAGACAGAGGGGAGAAGGAGAGGGCCAGCAGCAGCAGTGTGAAGGGACAGTAGCTACCTGTGTGTCTACCAAGGCCTCTGTGGCCCTGAGGTCCAGGGGACTGGGGTGGGAGACTTCACACTGACTTTTTTTGGGAAAGAAACTGTAAGGGGGTTGAAAGCAAACTGGGGGCATGATGAGTCCAGTCAGATGAGCCAACCCACTGCCGAGTAGTTGATGGGGTGCGGGGGTTGCAGTGAGCAGCTGCCCGGTGAGCGGAGCTGAAACCACGGTGCTATGGGAGCTGAGAGGCTCATGAACGCCTGACGGGAACAGTCTGGCAAATCCCCAACTGCTGGTTTGCCACCCTCTAGATACAAAGCAGGTGTCCTGCTGGCTCATATTTGTAAGCAGTCAGGAATGTGTGACCATCAGAAGATCATGCAGCTGTTTCTAAGAGTGTAGGAAAATAATGTATTATCTGGGGTCTCATGCTCAGCCTGGGAAACAGGCCACATCCAGGAGATTCAGAACGAACTAGAGCAGGGTCGGCACACTCTTCCTGTCAAGGGCTAGACAGTAAATATTCTAGGCTCTGAAGGCATGGACTCTGACACCCGCCGTGGAAGCAGCCAGAGCCTCATGGGACACGGGCGCGACTGGTCTCCAGGAAACAGTGTTTCCAAGAGCAGGTGCCTGGCAGGGTCCGGCCCAGAGCTGCGGTCTGCCAACCCTGAACCAGAGCTGTGAACGTGGGTTTCTACATGCAAACGCAGCAAACGTCCCGTCCCCAGTGCTAATGCCAACGGCAGCCCACAGCACACGGGGCCTGACATCTGCAGCTGCATCCAGACGCAGAGGAGAGGGTGCTGTGGGGCCACAAATGCTGCAGCTCACCCAACCACTCCCTCCATGTGCTCCTACATTCTGGGGAATCAAAGGTCACTTCCTTTACGAACGTGTACCTCTCTAAGTCAGGTCGCCCACCCCAGGAAGCCCAAGGCACTCCAGGACATGAATCGTCTGAGACAGCTTTAGGGTGGGAAAGGGGGAAAATGCGAGTGGCAGCTGCTTCAGCCCAAGTCCCAGCCCAGCTGGTCCATCAAGCCTCGGAAGAGTTGCTACATGCCTCACAATAAAAACCCCTAAAACAGCTGTGTAACCGGGGACCACAAGGTACTCTGGTAACATAGCTACAAATGCTGAGTATTACAAAGACGTGTGCAGACACCTTGAGCGGAAACCACGTACCTGGGCTGGACTCTTCAGGAGGGGGGCTGCAATCTGCACAGAAACGGAGGGCAACACGGATGGTTAAGGAGCAGCACACAGTTCAAGCACCACACTCAACGCTCGCAGCACAGCTTCCACAGCTTGCGTAGGGGCTGACCTGAACAGAGAAGAGGTGGGGCCGGCCTGCCTCTTCCCCGACAAGTAGCTCGGACGCTCTGGCTATTCCGAGGCAGCCAAACCCCTTGGTAGTAAACACAGCCCGGTTAAGGGGCAAAAATGTTCATGCTGCTAGCATGTCAACATGAAATGCTCTTCGGGTGAGCACTTACATACTGAACGGGATGGAGTGCCCTCGTCCATCGCATTGTATGTGGCAGAGCCCATGTTGGCTCATAATATCTGGAAGCAAACTTGAAATGAGAGAGACTGACCGGTCAGGGGAGGTTCCACCGCAGAGCCACTGCCCTGCTGACTGGCGGAACCCGGGATGCAAACTGACCGCTCAGATCCCAAGGTAGGATCCAGTGGTGAGGCAACTACACCAGCAACAGCCACGCCACTCTAAAATGTAAGCCAGCCCCGGCCGGTTTGGCTCAGCAGTTGGAGGGTCAGACCTCAGATCGAAGAGTCGAGGGTTCGATTCTGGTCAAGGGAGAGTGCCTGGGTTGCAGGTTCGATTCCCAGCCCCGCCAGGGTCATTGGGAGGCAACCATTCGATGTGTCTCTCTCATATCAATGTTTCTCTCTCTCTCCCTCCCTCCCTTCCACTATCTAAAAACCAATGGAAAAATATCCTTAGGTGAGGATTAACAACAAAAACGTAAGCCAAATATAAAATGTTATGATTAGGGGGATGTCTAGAATTAGAATGTCCCTCCAGGTTCCTCAAAGAATACCAATGTTAATTCCGTTCACCACACTGAGTCACACTGTGAAGTACTCACTTCCATTTCACATTTCCCTTACAAACTCCAAGTTTCCTGGTTAAATGGGTGTGCACCCAAAAGAAAACAAGTTTGAAAAGGGATCATCTGGAATAAAGGCTTATTTTATTTCGCTGTCTGAACTTTTTAGTTCAAAAAATGTCTTTAGGATATTAAAATAGGTAGTTTCAGATCCCCCAAAATAACCGGGACCAGCTATATGAAGACTTTCACAACCAGTAAAACCGTCCAAAAGTGGGTGGCAACGGATCCTTCCCTTCTAGTCATCTTTGGTGATGATTTTTTCTCCTGGCAAAGGGGACAGAAACAGAGCAAAATTGCAGGCCTCTGTGAGCCACAGGCTTCAGCCTTGTCGTCAGAGCCCATCCACCTAACAAGGACGTGACCCTGTGGATGGAGATGCAGAACCGTGGCCCTTAAACATGCGTCTGACTAAGGAGACTCACCTCGGGCCTCGAAAAAACACAGATTTCTGACTTCTCCAAGACTCTGGGTTTGCATGAGGAGGTAAGCCTATTTTTTTTTTCTTTATTGATTTTTTAGAGAGAGAGAAAAGAAGAGGGAGAGAGAGATGGAAACATAGATGAGAGAGAACATCGAGTGGCTGCCTCCTGCATGCCCCCACTGGGGATAGGGCCCACAACTTGGGCACGTGCCCTGACCAGGAATCAAACAAGCCACCTCTTGGTCAACGCTCAACCACTGAGTCACACCAGATGGGCAGGAAAGCCTATTTTTATGGTGTTCTGTGGTAACCCCAGACAGCTGGGTTGGGACCATTCCTGAGAAGGCATTGGGGTTAAACCCTGCTGGGTAAACTCATCTTTCAATCAAAAAGGAGAGGGAGCAGTCCCCTGGGGTACTCCTGGACCAGTTGCTTGTGTCTTAGGTCATGGAGTCCCTTGAGATTTCATGACCACTGTGGACTTTCTCTCATTTCAGCACATAATCTCAGGGCACACAAACTTGGGTGCAACCCACAGCCCTCAGCTTAAGGACAACCTAATCCTGGTGAATGACTCTTTGGGAATGAGCAGAGCAAGAGAGTGTGTGTGGAAGGTAATGGAAGCCACAAATCCTGGCAGGCTGGGGGCACTTGTGGAGGAAACAGGGAGGAGAAAGGCCTATGGAGCCTTCAGTAGATCCCGAGGGGCCCCGGCCCTGGGTGACTCCTGCCCGCCAGGCAAGGCTCTGATCAGTTCTGCAGGAGAGTGAGCTAAGGGGCAGGGCAGCTCCTTGGAGTAAATGGAAAACAAGGACCCAGGACGGGCAGAGAACTGGAACAAAAAATAAAGATGCCTTTCAAAGAGGCAGGAAGTTGTTTGTAAGTAATAATATGCAGGTGTGAGCACAACCTGCTCATTAGGCCGAACACCTGCCCCAGTTAATGCCAAATGATCTCAAAGTCATGACAAGGCCCAGTCTGGCTGCTGAGGACAAGAGGCTGAGTGAACACATAGTTCACAGTCTATTCTTTCTGCTCCTCCTGCTCATGCTGAGGTCTGAACAGCATCCAGGCGATGCACACGATTTAGAGTTAAGGGTCATGTGCCGTTAACATGGTGGCATAGGTTTCGTGCATTTCTGAGGGCTGGTCAGCAGATGAGACTCTCTCAATGGATGCTTCGTAGTCCCCTCATCACAACACGGCTCATTTGCAAGACACATACAATTACAAGTCAAACCCTAAATATTACAAGTCATAATAAATGCTCATTTAATTAACTTTAAACCTGCATATAAATTTGTCTCCATTTGAATACAGGATGTCTAGAAAAAAATTACATGACACGTAAATGATGGGTAGAACAGTCTAAGTGATTAAATAAACTATCTTCTGTACTTTAAAAAATCCAATACATTACTTTTTATAACTGCAAAAAATTTTTAAAGTATAAGCAGGACAATATTAAACAGAAATAAGCAATGAACTTTAGAAGAAACACAATTTACATAAAAAATGAGAACACAGAGACAAACAGCTCCATGAACTGAACTACAACCCTCACAAATGGAAGAGCGGAGGACAGAAACACTGTTGAAACAGAGGCTCAGTGAAACAGCGCCCTGGAGACAGACTGCAGGCGGATGACGCCGGGGAGGCACCTTACAAGTGGAGCAGGATTTATCAAGAGGCTCTAGACAAAGAGGCGTGGTTCTGCCTCAAATGAAAACTGCAGTTCAGACACTACCAGTCCTCGCTGCAGGAAGCCTGACCCTGGCACATCTGGGTGTTACTTCCTATGGCCAAATACTCCCACAGGAGAGCAAAGAGGAAACAGAAGCTCTGTCTGCAGCCTGGTCTTGGCTGCCTGGCCCATACCTGCTTCCAGCTCTTACCGGAAAAGGCGGGAGGCCCTGAGCCGCAGGGACAAGAAGCTGTATTATCAGCCTTAAGACTGTAAGCAGGGCCGAGCGTCTGGTTACGCTCTGTCTCCGCAGACAGAACTCTTTCGAAGTGTGCTACTTCATGCCAATGTCCTACCATCCACTCAGAGCTCCACCCTGGAGGTGGTGACAACAGAGGAACCTAACTCAGCCCCAGAGGCACAGGAGTGGGTAACCGCCACCAGACTGAGTCACCAGCATGTGCCAAGGCAACATGCCTCTGCTGGGTGAGCACACCCAGCCAACGGCAGCCTGCCTCCGACAAGTCCACTGGGCCTGCTCACAGCTCTCCTCCGGCTGTGCCCTGCACCACTCGCCTGTCCGTGACTCTCCCAGCTCCTAGGACAATTGACAGCCTCATCAGAAAGGCATATGCATTCTGGCCTCCTTCAGGGTCTCGGATTGGTTTACCAACCAGAAGAATCCAGGAGCCCAGCCCTTACTGCTGTGGCAGTGTGACCCCAGAGGGCCCTGAGAGCCCGCCTGCCTTAGCCAGACATGCAGAGACGCAGGCTCCGTGGGCATGAAGCCTATGGGCGCCTCCGCCCTCACCGCCCACTGCTCCCTGCACTGTGACGCCCACTCTGACCGACAGCCCTCCCTGCAGTCTGCATGGGGAAAGAGGACTTGGAGTCAGACACAGACAGACAGACGAGCATGACGTGGAGGCAGTGCAATGGGAAGCATGGATGCATACGCACGTGTGGTCAGGTGAGGATGGCATGCAGCAGAGGACATGGTGGCGGGGCGTGATGAGGAGGGGGCAGCACAGAAGGGGTCCTCCGGTCTGATCCAGTAGGCGTGGCTGTTCCGGTTACCTTTCCTGCTGGTGCCGCTGCCCGAGCAGGGGGAGCCGTCCTCACCGCCCTCGCCAAGCAGGCGCTCCTGCAGCAGCTTGTCCACCCGCTGGATGATGCACTCCAGGCTCTTGTCCACGTTCAGCCACACTTTCTCCTTCCAAAGCAGAAGAGTCACCTCAGTCAGCTCTCCGATTGGAAAAGCAGAACAGAACACACACCAAATCATCTCCCACTGATCCCCACCTCAACCACCATGCTCATTAAAACCCAAGATTTAGAAATATCAATAGCATTCATAATTCCCCAAGTACAATTAAAGTTGTACTTGCTTTTCAAAGAATTAATCAATGTCCTGGGGTCACTATTTTAAAATTTGGGAGATGTTTGCTAGTCACTGTCATGGAGGCCAGTCAGGACTTCCCAGCACCACTGAGGGCTAACAGGAGGGCCCTGGGCCCAGTGAGCCAGAGGCTCCACTGCAGACCTCCTACCACACCAGGGGGGACTGAGGTCTCTTCTGGATGGAAGGGAATGGAAACAGCTGGTCACTTCCGATGGGGTAAGGTGGGGAGGGGTAAGGTGGGGAGGGCTGAGGGGCACAGGATGCCGTCAGGGCGGGAGGAGCGCTTGTCTAGTAATTCAGTAACTCACAGCTCTGCTTCGAAGCAGTCCCGACAAATGACGGAACAAGTTCTACGCTGCATCCCGTCCCTCAGGAGACAGGCCTGCTCTGGGGACAGCACTGTGAGGGAGCCACAAAGCAACTCAGGGTCAGGGCAAGCAGGAGAGCCGGCAGGGCCGAGGGCTCGGGGAATCGCCCCTTCACAGCCAGGTCTGAGAATGGCAGGCCCACGGCAGCCCTGCTCCTCAGATGGACAGAGCTGGTAAGATACCATCTCCCTCCCTAAATCAGGTGGCCCGCAGCCATCTGGGAGACTTGAGCTTATCTGCACGGGTGGCTCTGCGGGGAGAGGCTGGCGGGAAGGTCTGCATTTTTGGCCTGACCGCAGCAGCATGGCAAGGGCGCTGCGCACACTCACCCACTCCTCCTCGTGCCAATCTGCCTGCAGAGAAGACCGGCTGTTCCTGCCCGTCCACCTGGCCATGAGGGTGTCCTGGTCATTCCTGAGCATCACCTGCTCCTCCTCGGCCGAGGTGGGGGAGGCCTTGGAGGCGATGTAGTCAGGCCGTGCTGCGTCCAGCCCGTGGATGGAGCTGGCCAGCAGCTTGCAGTCGCAGACGGTGACCAGCTGCCGGGTCTGCGGGCACACCCCCAGACCGCTGAGCCCAGGCAGGGGCTGTCGAGCCCTCCTCCCCGGAAGCTCGGGAGCAGCCTGCGCCCAGCACTCCTCCTCCTCCCTCCACAGTGCCAACCTCAAGGGCTACCCCACAGGATGCCAGGCCTACAGACGGCCCGTGACCGCCCGGCAGAACTTTAGCCAGAATTTCCCACCAAGAGGACAAGGGGAGGCTGAGAAACCTCTGACAGCCCTTGACCCCTGCTGCCTCTGAGCATGACATGGCTGAGGAAGGACCTGAAGAGCCCACTGTCCCAGCCTTCAGGGGTGCTGGGGCTGTCCCTGCCAATTCCAGGGGTCAGCCTTACTCTGGTTCAGTCACTGAAGCCTTATCTTTTTGCACCTAACCCCTGGAGCCCTGGGCTCCTGGCACAGCGACCCTGCTTTGGGGAGTTCTGTGCGCAGCAGGCCCTGCGGCTCATCCCCTTACTTCCGGCATCTTCTTCTGCACATGGATCCAATCGCCAGCTCTCAATCTTTTCGTGGCTGAACATGTGGGAAGGCCTAACGTGTTCTGTTCAAGGATAGCACCTCACCCCAGCACAGTGGTTGTGACTAGGGAAGTGTGATCAGAATCTGTGTGTGTGTGCAAGTGATAGACAGATGAGCAATTTGAAAAAGCATCACCCATCGAAAGGACCTGATGTACCCACATCCCAGTATGGATGACTATTTATATATTTTAAACCAGGATCAAATTACTGTTAATTAAAGGCAGGTTTACTGATTATATACAAGCCAATAAGATTGTATTCTCCTGATGCTGTATCTGTATAATAACTCACTTTCCTTTTTTTTTTTTTTTTTTTTTAATTCCAAGTACCACAGAACTGTGGCAGAAATGTGCTGAGTAGGTGGTTACGGAGAAAGGTGTGGGCTGACCCAGCCGTCACAGTGAACCCCCGGACTTGCTGGGAGATGCCTCTGCCTGAAGCCGCAGCTGTGTCACGGCCCTGGGCCCGCCCCATCCAGGTCTGTGACTATGGGCAAATAACCAGACCCCCTGGACCTTGCAGGAACTGGATCCAAAGCTAGATCTTCAATATCATCCCAATGTCACGCTCTGTGGGAACAGCTTTGGGCGCACTATACCGCAAACGCAAGGGAGCCCACCCACACGCAGCAGGGCAGCCCCTCCTACCTTGTCTGCTAGGATGGCGAGTGTTCTTTCGAGGCCAGTGGCCGACCTGTCCTTGGCTGCCCTCGAGAGCCGCTCAGCATAGTAACTCACTTGGGTTTTCAGGGTGTTGATCTGGGCAATGATTTCCTTGGCTCTGACGATGTCCTGTGGTATGTAGACTATGGACTGGCAGCTGGATGATGTACTAAAAAGATAAGAACAGATCCTAAGGAGTTCCCTCGAATCCATGAGACTAGCAGCACCCGCGCCACCCCAGTCCACGGCCAACAAAAAATAAAGCATTGTTATTCAGGGACATTTTCCTGGGCCAGGTAGCTGCTGATGCACCAAAGTAATCTCTGTATGGTAGAAGCTTGGAATGTTAGCATACAATTAAGTCTTCTATCTGTATTTGTCTATATCTGTATTTGTACCATGTGTATGTACCTTGTACCCAGATATTAAACCCAGAAATTACCCAAATGCTAGCCTTTCACCTTAGAATCTCAACTGTCACATTCTAAGCAGACTGAAGTGGAGACATGGGGTCTGCTGGTGCCAGCAGGGGTCAGTTTATCACAGTGAAGGGAGACTTCCACGGGTGCCAACTTGGCCAAAAGGATCCTTGGTGTTTTCCATTTGGCCAGTTGGGACCTCAAACCTCCTGTGCACACACCCACACTCTCCTCCCTCATGTGTCTGACCCCAGCAAATCCTCCCCCTGCCCAGAACTTCCCTACTTTGAAAAATAACATTCCGTCAGATGAGGAGGTAGAAAACCCGCCAGACCTCGCTGGACCTGGACGCCTCAAACCAGGCTCTTGTCAAACCTGGGAGCTTTGGAACCTGTTTCTTCCTCCTTCCCGCCCCCTCGCCACCAAGCAATGTGTGTATCTTGGAATCTGAGGTCAAAGCTACAGCCCAGCCATTGCCCAGAACAAATAAACGCCCGCCCCTGGAGAACCAGCTCAACGTCCGCAGCTGCATGGGGCCTGGCTGGCATGGATGGCCCTTCTAGATGGAGATGGTACACTGCATGGCTCTCAGCTAGGATACAAAACCAACCCAGTATTATCAATTGATTTTTCAGACCATGTGCGGAAGCTGAGGAAAGCAGGAAGGGGCAGGACAGGCACCAGTGCAGAGGTCTCTCCCACAACCTGAAGTCATGGCCTCTGGCTGGAGTGGGTGTCCCATGTTCCGTGGAATGAGAGGCCCTAGCTGTTCCCGCAGAGCTGCCCTTTGAACTTGGAGGAAGAGAGAGAAGGTGGAGAGCTACACCCTCCATCACTGTCTCTGGAGATGGGGGTGATCTGGGCAGGGCTGAGAACTTTCCCCAATAGGCTCTTTCCAGGGACCCAAAGGTGAGTCACCAAGAAACTGCCCGTCTCTGGATGAAATATGGCTTAAACATGCAAAAAGCAGAACCCAAAGCACCCCAAAAAGAAACCACACTGCAAGCCACACACAACAAAGTGACGGGTCTGCCAGAAGCCCATGCAGGAGACTGCGCTCAGCCTGGTGGTCTGACCAGACCACCCACAGCGTGATGTCACACGACCACTTCCAATCTGCAATCACTCTTCCAAATGAATAGCTGCCGTTTTAGACAATTCAGTCTTAAAAATACAATCTTGAAATAGAGTGGAAAAAAGCAGGTCCTGATGTTGATGTGTATGTGTGTGTACAAGGCTGTGTGCACGTGGACAAGCATCTGCCCCGCCCGCCCTGGGAACAGCATCACGCCCACTCACCCCATCCTCACAGGCCATGTCCAATCATGGAAGTCTGGGCTTCTGCACAGGAAGGATATGAGGAGATGGCAAAGAGCTGCTGTTTGGGGTGACCATGAGCATGCAAACATGGGTGCCCAACTGCCTACTCCTAAAACAGGGAGCCGAAGAGGCCGCGGGACTCCTGCTGCCAGACTTCCCGGCAGAGCCTGACATCTCAGACAGGGCCCAGCCACAGCGCCAGCCTCACCAGCTCCAGGAGGGCAGCACTTCCAAAGGGCTGGTGAGGCCTCGGAGCCTGTCCCCCAGGGAGGCGTCCCTGCAAAGCCCCGTTCTGGCGCAGCAAGCAGTCTCGGCACAACTGGGGGCCTGAGGCAGCAGGAGGGCCCCCAGGCAGCAGACACGATGGTGTTGGCTGCCATCTAACTCTTTAGTGGAAAAAGTCACTGCGTTATTGTAATTCTTGGTAAAACTGACATGGGTAACACTTAAAAATATGCAGAAACTATTTAGGATCATGAAAATGTAGGCTGCTCATTCCCCCAAGAGTTGATAGTGAACAGAGACTGAAAAGCCCCAAGATTCTTATGGAAGAGCTGGAAAGAGGTCCCCAGCCGCCACAGTGGGTGGACCTGCCAGCCTGGCCTCTCACCCTCTGGGAAAATTAGCGCCAGTCTGCTCTCAGTGAGGCTGCTGGATTCTGAGGACGGAGCAGGGGGCCGGAGCCTGGCTATTCATTACCAGAGAACATTGCAGTTGGAAGAACTGTTTCCGAGGCTTTAACTCGGAGCCCACGGTAGCGCCCAGGGTGAAGCACCTCTCGGGGGAGGGGACAACACAGGCTTTCTCGGCATGAAAGCAAGACCCAGACAGACTCTCCACAGACAGAAACTCACCAACACTCCTCAAAACTGCTAAAGAAAAGAACCAAAATAAAATATTAGCATTTGTTAACAAACACCAAATGCAAAACAAAAAATTAAAAAGCCAAGTTATCTTTTGTCAAAACACTTGAGTTTATTAGCTGAAGGACAAGGAACTCCTGAGCCCTTGTGCTCATTCATGACCTCTATACTCCGCCCAGCGAGACTGCTGGGGAAGGTGCACCTGCACTTATAGGGAAGCTCCAATGAGGAAAACCATTTCTACCAGTGGTTTTAGGACATTAAATAAAACTTCATATTATATATTTGAAAAATACCTCAAAGGTATTTTCAGGACAAGAAGTTCTGAAGTTGACACACAGGTAATCAGGCATCAGCATGCCGACCTTCCTGGGACAAGGAAAGCCGGAGGCATCACTCTCGACTGGTTTTTTCCTCCAGGGCCTTGTGCCACCCTCAAATCACACGCTCACCCCACACAGCCACATGCAATGGGGTGACGGACACAGGATCTCTGCTTGCTGTGCAGAGCTGTGGTGGGGACAGGAAGCCTCAGGACTGTCGCAATGTCTAGCGAGACCTCCTAAGGGCCTGCTCATCTGGCTGTCTAAGCAGGAAGGAGCCCTTGGTGGAGATGAATCAAGGTGCAGCAGACGGTCGGGGGCCTCCCAGAGAATGTTCCCCAACCTAAGGCTGAAACTCCCCTTCCTAAGCAGGCTCTCTCTTGCTCCTCCTCCTCTTTTCCCCAGGAATCCCTTGGCCCAGGGCAACCTGTGCACACATCTGAATGGTGACTTCTCAGTACACTCTCTTCCACCCACCTGTCCCCCTCCAGCCTCAGCCCCATGGTCAGCGACACTCCTAGCTGCATCCCTGACCCCTCAGCCCACTGACCAACCACTGCACCTGACCTTTCAGTCATCCCTGGCCCCGTCCACGGTCAGTTTTCTCCATCCATGTCCTTTTCTCCATCCAGGGCAAAGGCCCCCTGGCTCTGGCACCTACCACTCTGCACCTGACCACCTTACAGGATCCCCTAGGCCTCTGCTTCACCTTCCCTCAGATCATTCCAGTCCCAGCGGTAAGTGTGACCTTCCAACTCCATATTCTGCAGAGGCGGTTCCACCAAACCTCCAGCTTGCTCTTTCCCACCTCAAAAAGCTGTCTGCAACCTCAACTTCTTCTCACGTTCCTGGACTCAGCCTGGTCCTGCCTCTTTCCACCTTCTCCAGAACATGCTCCATCCCTGTCCTCTGTCTACCTCATTCGCTTCCACCTTTCCTTGCAGCCTGAACACACGCTCATGCCGTAATACGCTCCCTGAACCCGAGACCGTCACCCTCTATTTCATGGTCCAACAATCCCACAGCACCATCTACACTCACCACCTCCACTTCTCACAACTCACATCCCTTGATCTACTTAAATCTTGACAGGTGACAATCCGGAAGATCACCTCCCTTGTGTCCAACGCCCTAGCTTGGATGCTAGGCCTCTCCCGGTCACCCCTGCTCCATGCTCCACAGCACCCTGTGTGTGGCTGTTCCCAAGCATGGCACTGCTCACTCTAGGCCCAGGGCTCCTCAGGCCAGGATCGGGTCTGTCAGCCCTGCACCTGGTCACCACTGCACAGCCCCACACCGAGGCCGGCTGTCCCCTCGCTCCTCTCCCCAAAGCGCTGAAGCACCAGGCCCCATACCTCCAGCCACACCTCACTGTGCTGCTCAGCACTGCCCTTCCCCACCGGCTGCCCGCAGCTTCCTGCTCAGCATGGCAGCTCATGCAGCTCCTCAAGTCTTTTAAAACTGGGAATGATTCTCCATGGCAGTCCTTCAGGAAAGAAAATAGTCTCTCCCAGGCTGCACACTTAGGAATGTTCAACCGACTGCCAGGGACTCTCAAGGACGGCAGAGACAGCAGTCCACCCAGGGCAGCTGCCGAAAGCACCACTTGCAAGGTGAACCGACTGGCAGGGATGGGACCTAGTGATCAGTGGCCTCCTCCCCCACCAGCTCAGTCAAAGCACAGCCTCTCTCACCATGCGAAAGCAGGTTGAATGGCTGGATGCTTTTGTGGTCATATTCTGATTTTTTTAACCTGGGAAGCTTCACACAGCTGTACAAGGACCACAAACACCTCCAAGAACTTACTGTTTCTTGGTCTCTTCAAATTTGTGCAGCTTTTTGCGAAGTCCTCCTGACTTGAAACCTTGGCAGTGTGCTGCTGGTGCCCCGATGGTGACGATGTCGTAGCTCTGATCTAAATGACAGAAAGCTCTCCTCTGTTACTCTGGGCTTGGGCCTGTGGACGAGCCAGCTACAGGGATATGCACATACCTCGGGGCCTGACCCTCCACCCAGGCCCAAGCAGCCTGCAGTTCCCTTCGTCCCACACCCTGGGCTGTCCAAGGGCCTCTATGCACCCAGGATGGAGCCACGCAGGCTGGAAGCGACACTCAGCCTGCAGGCCTCCTTCGGAAGGATGACTGAGGGCAGCTTTCTGCCACAAGAGCACAAAGGAAGCTGGACAGAGGAGAAGCGGAGGAAGGGGTTCGTGTTCTTCAATGAAGACCTTACAAAGGTCCTGCGATGTGTCTGTGACTGAGCTACCCCGCAGGACCACAGGAAGACTGGGCAGATGTGGGGCAGCACAGGGACCAAGGACACAAAGAACAGGCGTGAAATGGGGTTCAGCAAGAGGGGCAGAAAACACTTACCTGACCCTCCATCATCTTGAACTCTCATCCTCTGTATGTGCAAGTTTGTGGGAACAAATTCCAACTTTTTATCTGCTTTCAAACTGCTTGCTTTAAATGAGGGACCTACGAACGGACATTAACAAAAGAAGGGCATCAATGTGTATCCCGCATTCATGAATGGCAGGTAGAAAAAGGTCATTCTGGGGATGTGCTGGTCTTGGCCCAGGCAATTCTGAGTTGCCTATGAGCACACGCATTTCCAGACAGTGGCGGAGGAACACGGGAGGGAGGGCAGCCCATGGCCAGGAGGCCAGTCTGGGTGCTCGGGCGGGGAACAGAGCCGGGGCAGGCCGCTTCGGAAGGCGACAATGCCTGCCTACCTGCCTCAGCTCTCACGGGGAGGCCTGACACAGGAGGAGACTGTCAGCAGCACGATAAAAAGCTAAGGGCCCATGCCAGGAACTGCCGGTTCCAGCCAAGAGACCGCCATCATCCGAGATCTAAGAAACTGGTCTGACCAGAGCAACACAGGTCAGTTCTGGAAAGTGATGGGAATGTCTGCTCATCTCCCAGCTCTACCAGGATGCACAGACGCTGGGCAGCATTGACTCTGGCCCTCTGCAAACCTAAACACGTCCCCTCGTGTTCACTGGGTGGTTCAGGAAGTGGGTGGTGTTTGGTAACAAATATCCACAATCTTATTTCTATTGTCAGAACCTGCAACTAATTAGGAACTCCATGACTAGACGAGGAAGGGACTGCAAAACAGCACCGACAATTAGAAAAGGAGAAGAAATGATACTGCATCCAGAGAAGAAAGGTAGGTTATTTTGCCGGTGTACAAATCAGACGCACCACGGTCTGTTCTGCATTTGTCACACAGAGCTGTTCACCACACACTCACGGGAGCCTGCCAGAACCACAGAGCCTGCTATCAACAACTCTCTGGGGGTTCAGACACAGCGACACCTGAGAAGCTCTGCTCTGGAAAACTCAAGGCTGTGTGGGTGTCAGACTTTCCCAGGTGACAGGCATGCAGCATGGGCAGGTCCCTAAGTCCCTTCAGGCACATGCTGCCATTTCTCTCAGAAACACACTTGGATCTGTTCTTCAGACTCAAAGCAAACCCAGGGCACCATCATCTTATCATTCCTGTATCCAGCATCTTCCCAGCCGAGTCCGTGGATGTGTGCACACGTTCTGTGTCCTAAGTACATTAAGGCTTATGATCTCCTTTCAACCCTGAAATTTCATGATGAAGAGGGGAAGGAGGGGAAGAATCTAAAGATAGAGGACAAGGTAATGAAAAGCCAAAAAGAAAATCATTCAATTTGAAACAAAAAGGGAGTAAGTTAAGAATAGTGTTCTAAACCTTCCCTGAGAGAGTTCTGAAAAGCAAGTGGCATCTTTCAAGACAAGGTGAGTTTTCTGCAGTTCATGCTCCCTTTGGAGCCTTAAAATAGAAGGCTCCACTCATTCATATGTTCACTAAAGCACCACTGACCATTTAAACTGGAAATCTAGAAAATGGCTGTGTCTGAAGGCAAACAGTCTACATCCTTTTGGGCATTCAGTGATGTTAGACCGAGATGAATAAGCAACATGAACCGACAGCCTGTAACTTGGTCTCTCCTAAATCTCAGCCCACAGTGGTTGTTTTGGCAGATGACACCTTGGAAGGAATTTTCAGTTAAATTCACAGATTTGTCTTCTTAATTAAGATCTGAAAAATCTAAATTTTAAAGAATTCACACCTACATGAGAATCTAATTTTGAAAATCCATTAGAGTGTCTGTCAGTGAGAATAGCTGAGTGCCCTTGGGGTCCAGATTCGCAGGTGGGAAAATGGAGAGCGTTCGTGTTGTGATGAAGACGACACCTGGCACCCACCTTTGTACTGATGCAGATCGGTCAGGTTCTCCTGGTACGTGAGGATGATGGTCTGGTACTGGGTGACAATCTGGCGCCGGAGGCTCTCCCAGCAAGGAGACAGCTCTCCCAACTCCTCCAGTTCACACACTCTGAAAGCGAGACACACAGGTCAGGCTGTGAGCGGCTCCTTCCCTGGAGGGGCCCAGGAGTCAACCGCCTGGAGGACATAGTGCACATGGCAGCATCGCAACACAGGGAAGGCCAGGCAACCTGGTGAGTCTAAGGCTGAGCAGCAGGTACAAGGCAGGCCCTCCAGAAAGAAGGGCTGCACGAGAGGCAGACCCCAACCAGGGGCAAGTGCACAGAGAAGCTTTTCACAGAACGTAGCCAAATGGTCAAGGCAAACGGAATGAAGGAGAGAGGGCTCTGCCACGGCCCCACACGCTGGCTCGTACCAGAAACGGCACAGGTGAAGGTGTGAGCTGCAGCCCACTGGGTCTGGGAAGAGCACGAGGGGCAGGAGACCTCTAGTAACTGCTGTGATTTATTCCACAAAACAAAAGCTGGGTAAGAACTGAAATATGAACTTCTTAGCTTGGCAGTAAATTATAGCTACATAATCAGAATAACAAAACACAAGATGGATTAAAAAAAAAAAAAAGATAACCATTTTAGGAAACCGGGGAGCGGGAAAGTATAAAAGACCTAAAATCCCCATTTTATAGGAAATCAGTACCTAATCCCTGAAATTGATTGAAAGTACTCTACACGAAAAAACAAACAAAAGTACTCTACACGTGTATTCAGAAATACAGCGTTCAACATAAAACGGATAAAAGTGGTTGTTTCTGGGATTAGAAAGTTGAAGCCCCAAGACTTATATTGTTAACAGCCTTTGGTATTATTTGGCTCTTATATTACACACATTTTTCTTTGAAGTTTTTTTTTTTTTTAAAAAAAGCTAATTTTATAAAAGTTTTTAGGAATCTAACTTGTCTGATGTTGAAAAAAAAAGTCGTATCATTTTATTATTAAATTAGTAAAATTAAAGTAGCCCTGACCAGGTGGCTCAGTTGGTTGGAGCATCATCCTATGCACCGAAAGGTGGTGGGTTCAATTCCCAGTCAGGGCACATACCCAGGCTGCAGGTTCAATTCCTGCAGGAGACAACCGACTGATGTTTCTCTCTCTCTCTCTCTCTCTCAAATCAATAAAAACATATCCTTGGGTGAAGATTTAAAAAAACAATGTAAAATAACACCCAGTGCAGGCCAGGCCGTGGGGTTGTGGGGAGGCCATGTCCTCGCCCAGAGGCGTGCTGGCCCCCGGCCTCCGCTCGCTCATGCAGACAGGGCGCTGCTGCCTGGCGCTGCGGCCCCTCTAGGATGCCTCTGCCTGTGTCCCACAGGCTCCTTCTTATCTCCGTCAGCTTAACGTGCCCACCCCCGGGGTCTGCTCCCACCGCCCCCTCCTCACAGCCCCCTTCACTTTCTGCTGACCAGCTGGGGCTCCAGGGCCCAGGTCTCTGTCAGTGACTGCCTCCCAGCTCTGTCTACCTCATCAAGAAGCCTCATACCGAGCAGAGCGCCACCACAGGGCTGGGGTGAAACGCAACACAACCCTTGAAAGCAAAATGCTTGTTAAGTGAACAGAACCTTTAAAGTTATAGTACAAGTCATACCTAGTACAAACAGTGGGAAATTATGCCCTAACTAGAAATGATAAGTGAAGATTTATCTTAGCTATGTATATAGATACAGATATGGAAAAGCTGAAAGGAAAAATTTTAAGATTAAAACACATATAAAACCTGTACAAGTAGAGAGAAAGCTCTTTGCATTTCTTGCCATTAAGTTTGAATTTTTTCAAGATGAACATTGGAAACAAAACACTGTATTAAACAGCAGGATTCTGGCTGCACTGTTTCTTTCCTGCTCCTGTCCTGTAGTGTCTGTTATAACGTCGTTCACGACAAGCAGGAAGGGCAGCGCCTGGCGGACGGGAGACACACGAGCAGCACCTGAGCCACCTCCCCGGCTCTCCCTGCCCTGGGCGCAGTGACACAGCCCTGAGCTGAAGGATGCTCCCTCCGAAGGGTCCCATTTGCCCTCTGGAGCCCACAGCACGTGGCCTTGCCCCAGGACACCGCCGGCCCAGGCAGCCATGACCCAAGAATGGCTACTTTGAACTGAAGCCCATGAGAGGTGAAAGGAGGGGGGTATTGAGTGGTGGGCACATAGCTAGTGCTCTCGGCACACTGTCTTGTGACGTCTTTGCTCAAAAGCCCAGGACATGGATGAGCAAACTGAGGCTTTGGAAGCTCAGGCCTCAGAGCGGGCAAGTGGCAGAGGCGGGGTCTGTCATCTGGCCTCTCTGGTGCCAGTGCTCTGTCCACCACACACAGAGAGCTTCCCGGAGGGCACAGCCTCACCTGGCTGCATCTTCCTCCAGCAGCAGCTTCACGAACTGCCGGGGCACGTGCAAGGACAGCACGCTCTCCGCCATCTGCTCCAGGATGCGCAGGTGGTTGCCGTCGGTGGTGGGGAACCGGTACATGCGGCAGATGGCCCCTCCGAACACTGAGGGTGCAGGGACAGAGGCTGTGTGAGCAGACTGCAGCCCTGTGCCAGGTCCTCCTCCCCAGCCCTCAAAGACACTAACGCCCTCAGTCTTCTTACTGTCCATCTCCAGGGAGCTAAACATTGAAACCAAAAACCCAGCAGGTGGCTGAGCCTGAAAGCTCTTCCCCCGAGACCTGCCACCTTCTTGTCCCAGAATGTGTAGGAATTCCCAAGCGCAAGGGCTGTGGCGGGGAGGCTAGCAGTCACTAAACCCAATGCCAAACAAGACAGAGTGAGGCCAAGGACGAAGCCCCTCTACATGCTGGGAACATGAACACGGCAGAGGGGACGGCGGGGTGTGGCCGTGACCATCACTGCAGGTGGGTTGGAAAGGGTGACCATGGACCCAAGTGGACACTCACGAGAGTGGCAGGAGGACCAATGGAGGAAGTGTTTACCTGATTTCAGTAAAGTATCTTTACGCAATGAAGCGTATTTGGAACGGATTCCCAATGCTTCGGTCAAGCTCTCATCCACGGGCAGGACCATCTAGTGACACGAACAGAAAAGCACAAGAGACCATGAGCTCAGGTGGGTCCAGAGCACCCAGCAGAGGTGTGGCCTGCAGACGGCAAAAAGAGGCCTTGAGACAGACACCTTCCACTATCCAGCACACACGGCCCTGGCCACAGCCCGGTCAGCCGCCTCCACGCACGGGCACCTTCCACTCTCCAGCACACACAGCCCTGGCCAGGGCCCGGTCAGCGCCTCCACGCACGGCCACCTTCCACTCTCCAGCACACACGGCCCTGGCCACAGCCTGGTCAGCCGCCTCCACGCACGGCCACCTTCCACTCTCCAGCACACACGGCCCTGGCCAGGGCCCGGTCAGCGCCTCCACGCACGGCCACCTTCCACTCTCCAGCACACACGGCCCTGGCCAGGGCCCGGTCAGCGCCTCCACGCACGGGCACCTTCCACTCTCCAGCACACACAGCCCTGGCCAGGGCCCGGTCAGCGCCTCCACGCACGGCCACCTTCCACTCTCCAGCACACACGGCCCTGGCCACAGCCCGGTCAGCGCCTCCACGCACGGCCACCTTCCACTCTCCAGCACACACGGCCCTGGCCAGGGCCCGGTCAGCGCCTCCACGCACGGCCACCTTCCACTCTCCAGCACACACGGCCCTGGCCAGGGCCCGGTCAGCGCCTCCACGCACGGCCACCTTCCACTCTCCAGCACACACGGCCCTGGCCACAGCCCGGTCAGTGCCTCCACGCACGGCACGTTCCAGGCACTGCCGTCCAAAAGGCATGTCTTATGGCTGCGACACTTCACCTTCCATGTCAGTATCTCGATGTGTAAAGTGAAAGGGAGGATAAAAAAAAAATACCCAGGAATATTTCCACAGTTGACATTGTTGGCTTGTTTGGGGTAAAATGAGATGTCTCTGTGTTTTAAAACAATGATTCTTACCAATCCTTGTGCTTTTAAATTAGAATTCTAGTTAGAGAGCACACAGTGTCCACAAACATGAGACGGTGCGAGAGATGGCGCAGGACAGAGGTGGAGAAAAGGAGCAGGACAGAGGCGGAGAGAAGGAGCAGGACAGAGGCGGAGAGAAGGGGGAGGACAGAGGCGGAGAGAAGGGGGAGGACAGAGGCGGAGAGAAGGAGCAGGACAGAGGCGGAGAGAAGGAGCAGGACAGAGGCGGAGAGAAGGGGGAGGACAGAGGCGGAGAGAAGGGGGAGGACAGAGGCGGAGAGAAGGAGCAGGACAGAGGCGGAGAGAAGGGGGAGGACAGAGGCGGAGAGAAGGGGGAGGACAGAGGCGGAGAGAAGGGGGAGGACCAGCGGAGAGAAGGGGGAGGACAGGCGGAGAGAAGGGGGGAGGACAGAGGGAGAGAAGGGGGAGACAGAGGCGGAGAGAAGGGGGAGGACAGGCGGAGAGAAGGGGGAGGACAGAGGCGGAGAGAAGGGGGAGGACAGGCGTAGAGAATGGGGAGGACAGAGGCGAGAGAAGGGGAGCAGAGTCGGAGAGAAGGGGAGGACAGAGGCGGAGAGAAGGGGGAGGACAGAGGCGGAGAGAAGGAGCAGGACAGAGGCGGAGAGAAGGGGGAGGACAGAGGCGGAGAGAAGGGGGAGGACAGAGGCGGAGAGAAGGGGGAGGACAGGCGGAGAGAAGGGGGAGGACAGGCGGAGAGAAGGGGGAGGACAGGCGGAGAGAAGGGGGAGGACAGAGGCGGAGAGAAGGGGGAGGACAGGCGGAGAGAAGGGGGAGGACAGAGGTGGAGAGAAGGAGCAGGACAGAGGTGGAGAGAAGGAGCAGGACAGAGGCGGAGAGAAGGGGGAGGACAGAGGCGGAGAGAAGGGGGAGGACAGAGGCGGAGAGAAGGGGGAGGACAGAGGCGGAGAGAAGGGGGAGGACAGGCGGAGAGAAGGGGGAGGACAGGCGGAGAGAAGGGGGAGGACAGAGGCGGAGAGAAGGGGGAGGACAGAGGCGGAGAGAAGGGGGAGGACAGAGGCGGAGAGAAGGGGGAGGACAGAGGTGGAGAGAAGGAGCAGGACAGAGGTGGAGAGAAGGGGGAGGACAGAGGTGGAGAGAAGGATCATGGGAGAGGGAGAGCAAGGAGTGAGACAGGCTGGACAGGGTGCAGACTTGAGGTGTGTGTGCATGAGGTGAGAGTGGGCAGGTGAGTGTCTGGAAGAGGAAGATACTAAGAAAATATCAAAGGTGACCTGGGTCTCATTCTGCAGCCCCACCTGCCACCTGTGTTCCCTCTGACTGCAGCCCATCTGGCCAGGCTCTCCCACCTCTCTTCCCATTCTCTAGAGGTGGCCAGTGTGGCAGGCCTGTAGAGATTCCTTTCTCTCTACTTTGAGAAGGGCCTGGGGGACTGGTAGGTCCCAGGGTGGTGGCACCAGCAGGAGGCCCTGCCTGTTCCTTCCCTGGGTCAGAGGTCAAGTCCCTTCAGACAGATGCTATCACTCCTTCTAATGGAAGGAGGAAGAGGTGTGCTCACTCTCCCGTTGATAGTGTCCAGAGACCGGGTCACTGGAGGCCGCTCGTCTGCCTTCTCCTCCATCTGCCAGCCGATAACCGTGATGTTTCCCACGCGGTCACTCTCTGCAGACCTGCAACAAGCAACGTGCTCTGGGAAGTGGCGCAGTGACTGTGCTCCATTTTCTGCTCGAGGCTCAGCCATGCTGGTCACCGAGGTTCCGGGGTGTGCCGGGGTCTGGCCGGCTGGTCCGTGAAGCAGCATCCACTGCACGCCCAGACTGGGGGGAGGCAGCCTGGAAGCCATGGGGCCAGGGAGCAGGGCACAAGCTCCACAGAGAAGTGGGAGCTCGCCTGGTGGAGCCAAGGGGAGGAGCCAATGCTGGTCCCCTGGGCTGACCCCTGCCCCAGAGAGCAATGGGGACACATCTCAAAATCAGCTCTAGAGAGTACCTTCTTCTGGCACTAGACCACTTTCTGCTTCTTCCCACCTCAACCTTTGATATGCCCAAGGCCTCAGCCTGGACTCCAAGTCAGCTGAAGTCACCCACGGCCTCTGAATCCTGACAGGATGGAGCTGATGCCACTCCAGCCCCCGTCAGGTTCACCCTAAGGTCCCTGAGGGGGCCTGCGGTCGCCTGGGCCCACCTCACTGGTCCAGGGAAGCCCAGGCTTTTTGTGGAAAATGTCTGATTTAGCCAGTCCTAACATCCATGTGGTCCCTGGCCGTCTCCTTTGTGACTTCCACTCAGCGCTGTCGTGCCTGGAGGAGTCTTCCCCACACTGTCCCAACTGTCACCTTCACCTTGTTAAAGATGACACTGTCCACTTCTTATATGTAACTCTACTCCAACCAGAATCACTGTGGCATGTCAGGTAGCTGGACGGTTTTCCCAAGAGCCCTCTCCCCAGCACAGCCGCGCCCTCGGCCCTGACTCCCTGCCGGAGGCTCTCTGCACACAGCCAGGGCGTGCGGGGCTTGCCTGCTCTCTGCCTGCAGCGCGCTTATCCGCAGCTGCAGAGCACGGCACCACCTAGCCAAGAATCACTCCTCCTGTCAAAATTTTCTCTGCTATTATTTTGAACTGTTTTCCCAATTTTCACATTACTTTGAAAACCAGAACACCAAGTCGGGGTCTGCGTGGGAGTTGCCCCTAAAATGAATTTGGGAAGGGCCGCAATCTTGACATTTTTCTTCCAGGGACACAGTGGGGGTCCCCCCTACAGACATTTATGGAGCCCAAGCACTGTTCTACATGCTCAGGATACAGCAATGAAGCAACATAGACAAAACCCGCTCCCCGGGAGCTGACATTGTCAGAGGACGCGGGTCCTGTCTGCACAAACACGTTTACTGATGTGTATCGGGTCCGAGTCAGGCTCTGCTCCTCTTTCCTATCGGTGCCGCACACGCCCATCCCCACAGGCCCTCTGACAGGCTGAGGTTCGCTTCTGCTCAGAGGACAACCACTCCCTGCTAGGACCAGCCTCTGGGAAGGGGCAGGAAACGGGGCCCTTCCCATCAGTCCTTGGTCTCACAACTCCAGATCCTTCCAAAGGAACAAAGTTCAATACCAACCTTAGTGTTAAATGCACCCGATGATGCCTGTCCTGGAGCAGATCCTTGACAATGAATGTTCCAGAGCCCAGCAAATACATCTGAGGAAGAGGGAGGGACAGCTTGAGTCCGGATGCTTGCTCTGCATCTGCCCGATGACCAGGATCGAGAGGCCCGCTGGCTGGTGCCTGCCCTCTGACCCTCACCATGGGAGCCCAATAGGGACACTCAGAAATTCCCGAAGACAAATCCGTCTGGACATCAGCTACTTTGTGAGCCAGTGGTGAAATCGATTGCATGCTCGCCTCTCACTGAAATAACTACAGTTAAAAAGCAAAGAAAATCCCCTGAATCATGTTACTTAACTGTTCCCTGAGATCTGTCTTTGACGTCATACACGGAGAGTTTGATTTGCGTCATCTGATTGATGAGGGAATCTTGGAAGAAGGCAATACTGCTTAAGAATATAGGATTGTTGGTTCCCTTAAATGGAAAGAAAATCATCAGAACACAGTTGAATTTTTAAAATAACTAGTCTTAAAATACACCAACATTTTCAGAACGAGAGATTAACATTCTTACCAACTTAGATCAACACAAATACTCATGGCAGCTTAAATGAATGCAGACAGCCAAACACCTGCTTTTCAAGGACAAAGGAGCCCAATGAACCCTCTGCAGCCAGACACAGCCGTGCCAGGGCTTGTCCTAAGGGCTTCCCCTCAGCAGGAGGCGTCTACAAAATGGAAATAGACTGAATGCCCATCCACGTGTCATTCGACTTGACTTGGACTAAGCAATTATATCTACTGCTTCGGGCTTTCCTGTAAAATGTGCCAAGGCAGATGAAACAGGAAATGATTGGCTTAAGCCATTTCTTATTTCTAGAATCCTATGGTTGGAATAATTAAGGCCTGACCTATTTAAAGATATCCCTTTTCTGAGGACTAGCTGCTAATTTCTAGATCATGGCTGGCTATTTCCTGGCAGCTTAGCCTCGCCCCCAAAGCCCCATGATAATATATTCTCTTTCTCAGGCAGCATTAATTACCCAGCCAAACGGACTGCAGTCCCTGCCTGTGCCTGTGTGGGGTCCGTGCCTCTGTCTGTGTGCCCTCTGCAGTTCAACGTCTCCATGTCTGCTGGACAGCCCTCCCAGCCTCCCTCCACCCGCCCGAGGAGGCTGCAAACCTGGGTATCAGCTTCGTTGCCTCCTTCTCTAGCATTCTCAACCACCCAGTGACAATGAACTCTTCCGCAAATCCTCCCTCACAGGCACCCCTTCTTGCCCCTCCTTCCCAGTGCAAGTCAGGTGCCACAGCACACTCCCTCAAACACCTCTGGTCAGGTGACCCTCGTATAAAAGCCGGCGGTGGCCAGCTGCAAACTCCCTGACTTTCAAGGCTCACTCTCCACCTGTGCCTTCTGCACACTGAACAGGCTCAAGTTATTCTCCAAGCCACATGATGCGCCCCATCTCCATGACAGAGCTCTGCAATGCTCCCTAGACTGGCAGCATGGGCATTACCTGGGAGCCTGGGAGAAGCACAGAGTCTTGGGTCCCACCTGATCTATCAAGTCAGAATTTCACTATGCAGCTGTAGGACACCACCTCTGATCCTCAAACAGGCTAGAAACCCACCCTCCTGGTGCTGTCTTCATCCTTAACACTCCCCACACTCTGCGGGTATAGAAGCAGAGACGATGAGCTCTGCCTCCGCACCCACAGGGCAGGGGCTGGGCTGCAACGGTCCCTGGATCATCTGCACAGGGCCCAGCACTGTGCTTCATGTATAGACAGTGCTCACAAAGGCTTAGAAAACAGCCCTGGCTGGTATGGCTCAGCGGTTAGGGTATTGGCCTGCGGTCCAGAGAGACCTGGGTTCGGTTCCCACTAGGGGCGCCAACCTCGGAAGCAGTTTATCCCCGGCCCTGGTTGGTAGAGCAGGTGGCAGCCACTCGATGTGTCCCTTTCACGTTGATGTTTCTCCCTCTCTCTCCCTCCCACTCTATCTGAACAAAAAATGGAAAAAAATGTCCTCGGGTGAGGATATTAAAAAAAAAAAAAAGCTTAGAAAACAGAATTGTTGACTTGAACTTGGAAATGACTTCAGAAAATGAAAAGGTCTATCTTCCAAAATGTAAAGCGAGGGACGAAGAGGAAGTGACGAAGAGGAAGTGTGGTGGAGGCTGCTGGCCTGCCGGGGCGGATGGCTCCCATAGGGACTCACGTGGCCAACAGCATCCTGCAACTGCCCACACCCCAACTCCCACTCTCCCTGTCACAGCCCACACCACGTGCTCACTCATCTCAAGGGCCTCTGTGAAATTCCCCAGGTGGGTGCACAGCTTTAATTTAAGGTAAAAAGCACATATATAACACACAACTCAAAAGGATATAAAAATAAGAAACGATAAAAATAGGGGTATGTCCAGTGAGAGGGTTCCAAAAGTAGCAGCCAACTGGAAGTGACAAGGAATTGGATCATCCCTGTAAAAGGCAATCGACCTTATAGCATTCTTGTTCAAAAATAGCCAGCCAATAGCTGATCAATAATTATAAAGGACATGGCAAATAAAAATGCCATCCAAAACTGTGATGAAAAATTTCAATTACTAAAAACACACGAAAATGGCAGCACGTCAGAGATACCATCCCAGCCACGGGCGCTCAGGCAGCAGAGCAGCCCTCCCCTGGGCTGAGCCCGGGCACCAACAGCACCCACCTCGATGATCTCCGTCTGCGCGTGCTTCGTCCAGAATGCCTGAGGAGGGGTGGTCACACTCACTGCCACAAAGCTATTTGGTTTCCGGTCTAGCGACGGCGTGTGCAGTTCACTGCAAGCTATGGAATCAAGATGGAGAAAGAGTTCTTTAAAATCAGGCTCTAGTTAGTTCTCTGTTCCACTCACACCCAAGAGCTAAAAAGGAAATGACACTCAAAAGGATTAGACAATTACATTATCAGTTATCACAGGGAGCATGTGCCCCCCCAGCAGCAGGGCCCTCACCGCAGGGGAAAGTTGAGTCAGGGGCTTCCTACATCCATGGAGAAGAGCAGAGCCAAAGATCTCCTGTGGTGCTTGACCATAAAGCCTGACCTTGGTGAACTTCTAACCCATTGAGCTAAGCAGCCACAGAGCCAATGAAGTCCCGACACAGCTACCTGTGTGCACGGCTGCCATGTGAGCCCTAAGCGTGTGCTGGCCCATGGTCTCTGTGTGGGTGCAACTGAAAGCAAAATAAAATTCTATAGCAAAATACAACATCTTTAACAAGGAAGTCATTGCTTATTTATTCTCCTGATAAGACTCTTATCAAATGTAAGATTACTAAAAATGTTAGTTTTCAGAGAACAAGAACTGTTCCAGTTTGAAAACTTATTGCACTAAGCATTTTGAAATAGATTATAAAACTCAGAAAATCCTATCGTAGAAGTGATCCATAGGAAAAATGGTCACATTTCTTTGAATCCAACATGGATCTGTTGTATAAAGCACTACGAAAAAAAAATGACCTAATGCCATTAGGCTATGATATGCTATTGATTGTAAGACACTTTCTTATATATTAAAGAGATATTAGCCCGGCCGGTGTGGCTCAGTGTATTGAATATCATCCTATGGACTGAGAGGTCCTGGTTCAATTCCCAGTCAGGACACATGCCCAGGTTGTGGGCTCCATCCCCAGCAGGGGGCGTGCAGGAGGCAGTCAATCAATGTATCTCTCACATCAATGTTTCTCTCTCCCCCTTCCTCTCTTTGTAAAAAGCAATAAAAACCTATAAAAATAAATGGCTAAAACTGTTTTAAAAAAGATATTAAAACATGAAAAAATATACATCTTGGAACTGATTAAATATGGCAAATCAAAGTTCAACACTAGTAGAAACTGGCTTTTTTGGAGGAGCAGTAAACGCCCCTCGAGTGCTGCCTGCTTTTGCTTCATTCGCAGGGTCCTGAAACCAACAGGGTTCTGCCAGTGTTCTCCTTGCCTCTGCGGAGGAAGAAATGTGGGGGTCCTCACTGTCACTCCCGCCCCCATCATTCTCATGTGATTTTTTAAATGCTCACTGGCGATTTAAAATTTAGAAATTGACTTTTACTTCTGAAAAGTAATTTTGGTTCTCCGATTCCCCCTTTGTAATATATTCTCATATATTTTGAATCTTCATTACTTATTGGATATAACAAAAACAAAGAGCGTGGCTATTCAGTTCGGTGAGTTTTGACAATCATACATACCCCTGTAACCACCCACAAAGCAAGGTAGAAAACTTTCCCATCACACTAGGAAGTTCCTTTGTACTTCTATCAACTCCTCACCTCTGCAACCACTTTCTGACTTCCACTACTTTTGTCTGTTCTTGAATTGCATATAAACGGAATGTTATATGTATTGCTGATTCATTCTTTCTTCTACATTGATGGGTTCTATTCCATTGTAAAAATGTACCAAAATTTATCCATTCTACTGTTAATGGGCATTTGGGTTGTTTCATTTTGAACCATTATAAACAAAGGTGCCATAAACATTCTTGTTCATGTCTTTTTGTGAACTTTTCCTTTCTCTTACATAAGCACCTGAGAGTGACATTTCTAGGTGACAGCAGAGGACAGGTCTCATTTTGTAACTGTTTTCAATGTGGTCGCACATTTTACAACCCCATCCGTCAGCAACGTACCTCATTCCAGTTGCTCAGCATCTCCGCCAACATCTGGTGAGGTTAGTGGTTATTTCAGTTGTTCTGACAAATGTGTTTTAATTTGCACTTCTGGGATATTAAGCATCTTTTCACCATATGCTTATTGTCCATTTTTATAACTTCTTTTGTTAAGAGTTTAACCATTGGAGTGGGAAGGAGGGGGTCAATGGGGGAAAAAGTGGGGACATCTGTAATACTTTCAACAATGAAGATTAAAGAAGTCTAATCAAGACTTCTGCTTACTTTTAAATTGGATTGTTGACTTTTTAATTGTTGACTTGTAAGCATTTTATTTTAGATCTCTTCTTTGTTAGGTATATGTGTTGTGAATATCTTTTTTCCCAATCTGTGATTTATCTACTTATTTTCTTAAAGATTTTTAGATTATTTTATTTTAGATTTTTAATTTTAGGGAGAGGTAGGCAGAAAAATGTCCCTCTTCTAAAAGAGTCCCATGTCCTAGTCCCTAGAACCTGAGAACATCTCACCCCCAGGCAGAACTCTTAGATGTGACTGAGGTCACGGAGGCTTGACAGGGGTCACTGGATTATCTGAGTAGCTGCAATCTAATCACATGAGCCCTTAAAAGCAGGAGAGGAAGGTGGAGTCAAAAAGAGGTAAGATTCGAAGTACGAGGGGAAGGCACCTGCCACTGCTGGCCCTGCAGATGGAGAAGGTCCACAAGATAGGTGAGCGGCCTTTATAAGCTGAACTGGCCCCAAGTGGTAGCTGGCAAAGAAATGGGGGCCACAGTCCCAATATGACAAGGAACTACATTTCACCAACAATCTGAGCAAGAAAACAGACACTCCCCTGCAGCTGTGGTCATACTCTGGCATTGGCAGTGCTCAGCGGAGCCCACTGGATCTGTGACCAAAGGGCACTGTGCCGGCAGTGTACCTGTTGTGTCCAAGTGCTGTTGGTTATGGCAAATGGCAAACTAGAGCACAGAGGCGGTGCTCTGTGTTCTGCCCAAGAAGTCGGTGACTACCCTCAGCTGTGGGTGATTTCCTTTGTTTACTTCTAGAACCTTTTTTTTTTTTTTATCCTCCCCCGAGGACATTTTTCCGACAGAGTAGGAGGGAGTGGAAGACAGAGAGAGAGAGACATCGACATGAAAGGGACACATCGAGTGGCTGCCACCCGCATGACCCAACCAGGGCCGGGGAAAAACTGCAACCAAGGTACGTGCCCTTAGAGGGAACCGAACCCGGGTCTCTCTGGACCGCAGGCCAACGCTCTAACCACTGAGCCAAACCAGCCAGGGCTACTTCTAGAACCTTTAAGGAGGTTTTATTTTTTAAAGTTCTCTTCCATTTCTTCTACTACATCTACCTCAACAGGAATCAGGGATCTGACTGTTCTGCTTTATGCTGTACCCTGAAGGGAGCCATGGTCTGGTCTCTCGGCTGCCCCGCATCAAGTCTGGGCTCTTCACACCCAGGCAAGGCTGGGACAGTTGGGTCTTTCAAACACAAGTGATGGCACACAGACTGAGGAATAGCAGGTGACCAAGACTGGGAAGATTAGTATCAGTTTAAGGGCTGAGGAGCCACATACCACCTTCAGAACACACCTTCCCACAAGAGACATTCTCTCCTGGCCTCGTCTCCGACCCAGCCTACCTAAATCCCACCTGATGTCTAATTCCTAGCTCCAAGTCCACAGCTTCCAGGAAGCTCTCTCTCAGCAGCCCACAGTCACGCCTGTGTCTGTTGACTGCTTACATCACTCCTGTAGCCTATTTCCACAGGAACCATGACCTCTGGCATGTATGTATGGCCTGTCCCTCCAACCAAATCGCCTGTCATCCCAGCGGAATGAGTGCTGTGGAAGTAAACTGGTAAAACACTTCAAGTGCACCTCATTGGACTCAGCAATTCTATACTCAAGCTGTAGCCTAAGGAAATGACCAGCAAAATATATGAAAGTCCTATGTACAGGTATGTCCACTGCAGACTGCGATGGTGTTTATGATGGCAAACTGGAAAGAACCGGGATGTCCACCAATAGGAGGCTGGTTAAAACGAACGTGGCACTGCCTACAGAGGGTCTCTCCAGGCACCCAATAGGATGAGACAGCCCGTGTTTATCAAAATGGAAGGCGCCAGTGATCTTTTGCTGCATGAGAACAAAAGCCACGTTAAGGACACTAGCATGACATCTTTATAAATAATTCTGTCACCTCCACAACCAAAAATCATTCTAGCACTGTGTGCGTGAGAAGCTCCCTGGAAGCACACACACCAAAACGCCAACTGTGATTCTCTCTCAGGATTTGCTCTTCCTCTAACATTTGCTGTAATAAAGGTTCTAAAATAAACACTTATTAACTTTAAACTTTTTTAAGACAAACTATTTGACCATTCAATCATCTGGCTCCTCACCTTTTATTTTTAATTGTGGTGAAATTAATTTCACATAAAACCCACCCTCACCTTTCAAAACCGTTTCTCCCTCCATGTACACACTACTCTTCTCGGTTTCTCACGTGCAGACACATCCTGAGCTCTATTCTGGGGTGAGGATTTGTAACTCAGTTACATCAGCTCTCATCCTCTCTGTGCTGTCAGTTCCGCTCACTTCTTGGTTAGACCCTGTCTGCACATGCGAGTGAAGTGAGTATTATTCATTAGGAGCCCAGTGGGACTGCTTTCACTTCTGTTTTGGACCCTACCTGTTTCCTGGACCCCATGTTTTCCTCTTCTCAATTCGCTCCCCTTTGGGTGAAGCACCCTCCAATGACTCCCAGAGAAAGGGGGAGTGAGTTCATCTGAGACGCTACAGGGGAACGTTTCCTCCTGCCCCCACATTTGATCGGTTGCCTGGCTGAGCACAGCGTCCAGCTGGAAAGTTTGTACCCACACTAAAGGCGCTGCCTTCAGGTTCCCAGTGCTGAGGAGCGCTGGTTTCATCCCTGCCCTTGGGTATGACCATGTCCCCCTCTCTGGAACTTCTCAGTCTTCATTTTAGTACTCATGCTCTGAAACTTTACCATGATGTGCCTTATGATGGGTCTTTTTCAGGATGCCAGGCCTGGCAGGCATTTTTAACCTAGAAACACATCCTTCAGTCCTAAGGGGCCCCTGGTGTTATTTATTGGTAATTTCCTCCCTCACATTCTTTTCTATTTTATCTACTAAGTGTTGGATCTCCCAAATTTGCTCTCTAATTTTCCATTTCAACTTCTCTCCCATTCTCTATTTTGCTTTTACATTTTTACTTTCTGAGATAATTCTTGAGTATCTTCCAACCTTCATTGAATTTTTAAATATTTTCTATCCTATTTTAAATTTCTAAAGTTATCCATGTTCTTTAACTATTCTCTTTTTCTTTAGTGTATCCTCTTCTTGTTGGATGGATACACCATCTCCTCCTGAGGCTATAATTTCTATACAATAAATATATAAATAGCGGCCGGTGTGGCTCAGTGGCTGAGCTTCGGCCCATGGACTGAGAGGTCCTGGTTCGATTCCTGGTCAGGGCACATGCCCAGGTTGTGGGCCAAATTCCCAGTGCAGGGCATGCAGGAGGCAGCCAATCGATGTTCTCTCTCACTGATGTTTCTATCTCTCTCTCCCTCCTCCCTCCTGCACAGCACAGTATTCACTACCCACTGCAGACCCAGCCATCAAGCAAGGGCTAGAGAAAACCTGAACTTGTTCAGGAGTATTTAATCTAAAATGGGGACGTTTTCAGAGCTTAAAATTTGATAATAATACACTTATATTTTATGGGTTTAGCAATTTGTCAAAGTCCTGTTTGTTTTGTTTTGTTTTAATCACCATGAGCATGCCTCTCAAATGGTAACACCCCATATAACCCATGAGGAAACCCATGTAGCAAGGTCAAGGGCAGGCTCAAGGCCAAGCAGTTAGTTTGCAGCACAGTCTGGATGAGATACCAGGTCATCTGATTCCCCAGGAGGTGCTTCTTTTGTTACATCTCCTCTTGGACACCACTGCCGGGCCACCAACCAGTGCTGACCACCATCCAGGGATGAGGCCAGGGGAGGACACCAGAGAGCAGTCACTCCAGAGAAGCAGCACCTGAGCTGGCCCCCCCTGCTCCCCCACCTCCTGGGGAAGCTGTGTGCCACCACACTTCCCTGGGCCCGGAGCTGGCACAGTCTGCTGACTTCAGTCCACTCCCTCTCTGATGCTCCAAGAGGGAGAGCACACAGGTATGGTCACCTCTGTCCACAGAGTAGGAATGAGGGCTAGAGAGCTACACTCAACCAACAGGGCCCCACAGCCAGGGCCCCGCTTTCTCACCCCTCCGGACCCTCCCCGAGGGGCAGGAGGAGGGAGGGGAGGCTGTCTCGCAGCTCTGAGTGGGTTCTCCCCCTCCAGCCCTGCAGGGACACAGTGCCCAGCCCCCCCCCACCCCTTCCCCGGAAGTCCACACCAGCCTCCAGCTTCATCTTCACAGAAACACTGAGGCAGCAGCAGCGGCAACAAGTTCTCTAAGACAGACTTGGGACAGCAGTTGTGTTTTAGTTGTTGAACAACATACATTTTTAAACTAAAACAATTAAAAAGACACCCACCTAAGCTGAATTCTAAAATGGGTTCATCTGGATCCTGTAGATTTCCTGAATAAAAAAGAAATGCCAGAAAAAAGTCACCCTTAACAAACATTTCTCCACTTTTAGATTTTATGCCAAAAAAACCCCAACATACTTGCAATTATTTCACAGTATTCAAAATCAAACCGTCATGTTGCACACCCTCACTTATACAGTGATGTGTGTCAATTATTCCTCAATTAAATGGGGGGGGGGGCTCCAACATTCTACTTTTTTTTCCATCCAAAACTGTTATGCAAGATGATTTTTTCATTTTATAAACATTTAGTTTTGCAATTCCTAAGAAGTCTCAGACCCCAAGACCAAACCCCTTCCTTTCCAGGTCTGCAAACCCAAACAGACAGGGCTTTTACTGTGGGCTGGGCACTAGTCAGACAGGCCCTGTGAGCACTCCCACGTTATCTCCTGGCCAATCAGCCCTGGATGTATCCACCCAAACTGGACACCTGACAGCAGGCTGGTTCCAGTGGAGGCACTTCCCAGAGGGTGTGCTGACTCTCCCTCCCTATTCTGCCTCACCCAGAGGATGCCATACCAGGGCTCCTCCGGCCTGGGGCAGTCACGGGGGCTCATACTGGCTATCCACCACGTGCCCCAGGAGGCACACTTGGCCCTCCCAGAACTGCCACAGGGTGGGACCCCCCAGGAGCCAGCGCCTGAGGCTCACCTGCCAGAGAGAGGCCAAGCATGTCAGCCGCCACGTCGATGGTGGAAGCCCGCTGCACTGCACGGGCCCTGGCGCCATGGCGAGGGCTGTGCTCTCTTGCTGTCATGATGTCATTGGTGAGGATGTGCTTCCTGCTCTTGGGTCAGACTACGCCTGATCCCCTGGGAAGAGCCGACACCCAGCCCTAGTCCCCTAAGGTGGTAGTAGTCCTGAGAAACGGGAACGGACATGGGTAAGAAGCACAGAGGTGGTGGCAGAAAGACACTGTGATAATGGAGAGTATGTGACCTAACATCAGCAGGTGTCGCAAAGCCTGGCAGGTCAGGTGCAAGGTCTGATGTCTAGGTGTAATCAGTCCCCTCTTCCTGTGCACCCCCAGTGCTCTGACACACCAACACAGCATGCCTGTGGGACTGTACAAAAAACGTGTTCTCTCTGACAAAGCTATACCACCTGAAATGATGGTTTACATATAATCATAAAGATGGCTTTTGAGATTTTATTTGCTTTATTATGCTTTTCCATGGGCAAGTCTCCCAGAATTTCATAAAATCTGAAACCAATACACTACAACCTCAGTGAGAAGGATAACAGATACAGGAAAAGGTCTGCCACCCACTGGCTACAACAGCAGGGTGGGGCACGGGAGAGACGAAGGTACATGTTCTCCAACCTTGCCCTCTTTCTACAGCAACTTTGCGTGGGTCTCAGTCCTGGGCTGTGTCCCACAAACGTGCCCATGACAACCTCTGCCTCACTGACGTGACAGTGCTGTACAGTGGAGACGGACGCTGTGGAAGCAGCTACTGCCGCAGGTCTGCAGCCCAGAGCTCACACCTGCTCTAAGTGGGACCAGCAGCAAGAGGCTTCCATTTCCCCAACCTATGCGCTGTCATCCCTGCTGTCTCTAGAAGGAACCACCTCTCGATGTTCAGATAGTCAGACTGAGCAGCAAGGCCGGTTTCAAACACCCCTCTCCAAAGCCTCCAATTTCCAGACCCCTCTCTTCTCAGTGTGTCAACACCTCTGCACCCGAAGGGCCCAGGTTCCCACTCTTGAGTCAATTCACCCAGCAACTTACTGGACATCTTTGTTTTTGGATCAGTAGAGAGACGGGGCATTTCTTCATAGAAGCATGTCCAAATCCATCATCTAAAAATAGAAAATCATAAACTTAACAAGCTGGTCAACCCGCACAGAGTTCTGGTGAACACACGACGCATGTGTTGTAATTCCAGTACCCAGAAATATGGGGAGGTCAAAAGCTATTTCACGTTCCTTTGAGCTCTACACACCAATCTAACCTTTTAGCTCAAAAACAAAGGTTTTTCTCCAAGCCCCAAAGAATGAGAAATAGAAAGTACACATTCCTGTGCTCCTCCGGGGGTGACCCAGGGGAATATGGGGTGGTTTAGGGAAAATGAGGAGGTACGAATCTGAGTCCCAGTCTTCCTGCTTACAAACCCCAGGTCCAGGGAGAAGCTGCGGACCTCTCTGAGGCTCTGCACGTCGGTGTCTAGGATGAGGGAGCTGTACCCATCTCACTGGGCTGCAGTGAAAACCAGATGTGCCACAGTGGGAGAGGGCTCTGCGAACTCCACTGGGCTCCCGAGACTCTGCTAGCCTCCCGTGCTGTTGCTGCACCCTGACCCACAGGTGCCTCACTGTGGAGCAGGACACTCCAACTCTGACTCAGTCCCAGCACTGCTGGGGAGCTGTCAGGGTGAACCTCGGCCCACACGTGAGCCATCTGAAAATGCCATGCCTGGGGTGTAGACCACAGGAAAGGCAGTGCTCCCGGCCCTGGGCAAACTCAGTCCCTTGAGGCTGTGCTCCTATCCCTCCCACGGGGCACCCAGGGACCTGTGGCCTGGGCATCCCAGCAGAGAGGGCCGTGGCCTGGCTGGGGAATCACAGTAGAAGTCACCAGGGGAAGAATCATCAGTTTGCCAAAATCAAAAAGCATACAAGTCAAAAAATATGAAGAAAATGGGAAAGTACTAGCAGTACTAATATCTGTTAATTTGTAATGTGTAACTTAATTTAAAAATTCACTAAAAATCCAAGTAGAAAAATGTAAGAATTAATAAAAGAGTAATATACATGCTAAACATTTTGAAAAGTGACCAAACTAATTCATAATATCAAAGCAATGCTCACCACACCTATATTCCCCTAATTTAGTCCTCCACAGTTGTTTATTCTTCTACTGAGAATATGCTTTGTGGGCGGACCTAGGGGAAATTCCATAGACTCTCCTACAGTGATCACATTTTCTTTTCTTTCTCTCTCTCTCTCTCTCTCTCCTTTCTTTCTCTCTTTCCTTTCTTTCTCTCCTTTCTTTCTTTCTTTCTTTCTTTCTTTCTTTCTTTCTTTCTTTCTTTCTTTCTCTCTCTCTCTCTCTCTTTCTCTCTTTCTCTCTTTTTCTTTTTTTTTTTTTATCCTCACCCGAGGACATTTTCCCATTTTTTTGTTCAGGTACAGTGGGAGGGAGAGAGAGGAACAGAGAGAGAGAGAGAGAGAAACATCGATGTGAAAGGAACACATCAAGTGACTGCCACCCGCACGACTGACCAGGGCCGGGGACAAACTGCAACCGAGGTACGCGCCCTTAGCGGGAACCGAACCCGGGTCTCTCTGGACCGCAGGTTGACGCTCTAACCGCCGAGCCAAACCGGCCAGGGCTCTCTCTTTTTCTTTCCTTCTTTCCTTCCCTCCCTCCCTCTCTTTCTCTCTTTCGCCTCACCCAAGGATATTTTACCATTGATTTTTAGATAGAGTAGAAAGGAGAAAGGGGGAGAGAGTGTGAGAGAAACATCAATGTGAGAGAGACACATTAATTGGATACCTCCCCAACAACCCCGACTGGGGCCAAGGATCAAACCTGCAACCAAGGATCAAACCTGCAACCCAGGTGTATGCCCTTGATCAGAAATTAAACCCTTGACCCTTCAGTCTGTAGGTGGACACTCTAACCACTGAGCTACACCAGACCAGGCAGTGCTGATAACATTTTAGAATGCTACGAGCATTTTGGAAAGCAATCTGACATCATTTATCAAAATCTGTCCACAACAAAATTCTCACCGATAATCTGAAGATGCTTATTGCAGCATTACTTATAATGACCAACACTGAAACCAAGCTAAACGCCCGCTGCGGGTGAATCCATTCTACACCTGTAAAACACTAACATACAGCTGTTTGCATGATTGTAATGAAGCCAATAAGCACATGAAAAGTTCTTCCACCTCATCAGGAAAAGGCACAGTATAGCCATGAGCTATCTCTGCACACCCACTAAAATAGCTAAAATAAAAAGACAATGCCCGGTGTTGGCAAGTATGTGGAGTGATGGAACCATATACTGCTGGAGGAGTCAAGGGCAAGCCACTCTGGAAAATTCAGTATTTACTCAAACTCAACACCCACCCACCCCAGGACCTGGAATTGCTAACAGAAATGTGTGTTTATATTCCCCCCAAAGGTGTGAAGAACATTCAGAGCAGTAGCATTCCTAACAGTCAGAAACCAGAAACAGCCTGGCTAGTTTGTTTAAGTAGTTAGAGCATCGGCCCACAGACCACCAAGGGGTTACGGGTTCTATTCCTGGTCAAGGACAGTTATGGGTTCAATCTCCAGCCCCAGCTGGGGTTGTGTGGGAGGTAACCAACTGATGTGTCTCTCTCACACTGATGTTTCTCTCTCCCTCTCCCTCCATTCCACTCTATCTAAAAACCAATAGAAAAAATCCTTAAATGTGGATTAACAAAAAAACAAACAATCCAAATGTCCATCAACAGCAGAATGGACAATGCCAAGGGGGAGCCAGACACAGCACATCTAGGCAACTGCATTTCTATGAGGTCCAGGCACAGCCAAATGAGTCTATGGCGTTCGAGTCCTGGAAGCGACGCGGCCTGAGGATGGAGCTCTTCTCTCTTGGGCCTTCCTCCAGCTTGTTAATGAAGTTGAGCCACTTCCCCCCTTCAGGTGGAACAGCAGAGACATGCTACCTAACACAGGGCTACAACTGTACCCTGATATCTCAATAGCCCAAGGGAGGCAGGCCCCCATCCCCCCTGCCCTCCTCCCCTTGGAGGGCCCCTGCCCACTCCACCCACCTGCCCCTTCCCCTAGCAGGGTGGTTAGTATTGTAGGTGTTATGAGATTCTGGGGATAGAATTGCTTAAAGGGGAACATCTACAAACTAATTTTTCACTTGATAGAGTTCACAGACCATAGAAGCTTTCAGGTCAAAAGGAAAATACTTGGTGGTTACTTGGGGGCATTTAATTAGAATCTGCAATTTAAGTCATCAAGACCCAGAACAAAACGCTAATTTGCACAGCTGAACTCGATTCCCTTATTAGTCTCATTAATTTAAGGGAATTCACCAAGGATCCCTATATTCCCATGGTCCCCATTTTTTTCCCTCATTTGAAGATTGAAGCTTAGTAGAAGCAAAACTACACTGAAAATAAAGAGGACAAAGGTGTGGGAGCTGTTGAAGAAATGGGGGGCTGGGGGTGGGGAGGCGAGAGGACAGCAGGAAGCACTCAGGATACCAGCTGCCTCCCCATCCTCACTCCACGACACGACTGACACCAGGGTCCTCTGCCCGGACACAGGCCGTCAAATCCACAGCCCATGAGGGTGGGGCAGTGACAGCAGGGGCAAGAGCCAGGCAGAGGGATGCTTCCTGGGCTGGTGAGGGTGGCATGACAGTCAGAAGTTTCTCCTCCAGAGAACAAGAAATCTCAGGCTGGGGGAGGAGGGATCGGGGGGATCTGGAAGCCCCTCCAGCTCAGTAACCTCTGGGGAGGGCTAACCACAGAGCCCCACTTTTATCCATCATATACACTGGGGTTCTTCTGAAAATTATCTTTAAAAGGAGATGCACATAACCAATGGACATAGACAACAATGCTGGGGGTTGGAAGCGGGATGGGGAGGAGGGTGTCTAGGGGGGGAAAGGAGAAACATCTGTTAACAAAAATAAATTAATAAAAATTGGAAAAATAAATAAATAAAAAATAAAAGCACTAGCAAATGGGGAAAAAAAGGAGATGCACGGATGAAGTCACGGAAGTCCAGACTAGACAGCTGACTTTCTCAAGGTCATATGCAGGTGCAGGTTGAACTACGAGAAACAGCCCAAAGCCAAAAGCCCAAGTACAGCTGGGGCTTCTCCCTGCCCTTGGTGGTCCAGCCCACCTTGTCGATGTCACTGTGGGGGCCAATGGGCTAACAACAAACCCTCACTGGGCCTCGCTCTCCCAACTCAGGCAGCAGGAGAAAGTCAGACCAGAAAGGCTCAGTGAGTCAGGGTATGAATCAGAAGCCCTCAGCAGTTAGAAAGAGGAAGAATTTTCTCTCAAAACCCCCAAACCCAGGGCGGCTGTAATCACTTAGCGATGAGGCATCATGCGGCTCACTGGCACCCAAACCTGAGAGACAGCCGGCCACCTCCTGCACAAGCCTGCCCCGCACACAGCCCAGCACCCACAGCCTTCCTCCCAGGTGCCCTGACTCGGCTGGTGGTCTGTCCCTCCCGGATGACCCGCTGGAGTCTGTGTCTTGTGAATGCCTGACTTAGCTGCTTGCGTCTCCCACCCCCTCCTGGTACAAAGACCAGGTTTCAGACAAATACCTACTACCAAACAAACTGTCCACACCTGTGGTGACTGTGTTTGCTGACCAGTGTCTAGCTTCTTCCTGCCTCCCAGACACCCAACAGACAGCTCTGTGGCCCCTTCCCCCAGTGCTGGAAACAGCCCATAGGGAGGCCTGCTTCCTCCTTCCCTTCTGAGCCAGGAGCCAGCTCCCTCCTACCTCCTTCCTGCTCACTGTGAGCAAAGCTCCACGTCAGAGCGCGGCCCAGCGCCTGAGCGCACTGCAGAGCACCGCCCGTGCTGCTGCGATCTGAATGCAGGAAACACATGAGCCTTAGAAGTCAAGCCCGGGAAAACAGAAATGTGCTGCAGTTGGGCCTACTCCCACCGGCAGGCACAAACCACCCGCCCAGAGTGCCCTGCACACTTGCAGCAGAACAGCCCTGCTTCCCACCTCCCTGAGCCTTGTCCTCTGCTGGTGACACTGCACAGGTGGTAGTGGCAGTAAGGCCCCGCCCACTTCAGTTAACTCACTGACCTTATTCACGGTCTCATTCACGTCATGGACAAGGTCGCTGATGTAAGATAATGCCTTAACCCAGATTCAAATGCACATCTGGGACTACGAGGGGAGGAGTCAGTCACCCAGAGTGGGCCATGGTGTCCCTCTGAAACACCAGGCAGGCCAAGTGCTCCAGTAGGTAGGACAAGCCCAGACTGTTCAACCACCCCCCGCAACCTTCGGTTTCCCCATCTCAGTCATTGGCGACTCCTGTCCTTCCACTTGTTCCAGCCAAGACACAAAATCAATGCTGGCTGCTGGCCTCTTCTTCCTCTCACCCCGCCCCCCAGCCATTCTGCAGGCTCTATCTTCCCAGAAATCCAGACTTCAACCCACCTCAGCACCCCAGCCCCACGGCCCTGGCTTCTGACCAGTCCCTC